TCTGATAATAATGTTGGTCAGAAATATGACTCAAAATTTATGGAAATAATTTGGAAAAGGAGTATTGGAAAACAGCCTGGACTACATCTTTTTCTGGCTACCCCTCTCATTCCTCAGCAACTCATTGGAACTGAATCTGAAGCATTGCACAATCTTATTGGTTATACTTATAAAGTGTTACTCTCACTGTTGGATCTGCTGACTTTTAGATGTTTATGTGATTTGTAAACAGTTATTGTATACAGGAGCATTGTTATAAAAAGTGTACCAAAAACAGATTTCCAGTTCCATAGTTTGAGATATTGTTGGAATATTTATATGTTGAAGTTGAGAGTTTCAACAGTTTTATATTAGTTCTCTTTGTGTTGAGTCCTGTTAAAGTAACAGCCATATCACAACTTGGTGCAGCCTCGATTTTATAAACCAGCTTTTTTCCCCCATATCTGATATTAGATTTTAACTTCCATAATTCTCAGCCAATATAGCCTTTGGCTGGTGGCAAATGATAACAATTGGCATCCAATACAGTTGGAGTTCGCCAGACTGGAAAATGGGATTCTAAATAATTATCAGCCAGAAACAGGCATATGAAGTCATAAAGGTTGATTACATAGGTTCAACAAAAAATAATGAGGGTAAAATGAACATACCTTCGATCACATCAGAATGACAGAAATTAATTCATTTTACCTTTAGAAACATTTCTGGTTGACTTCACAAACTGCACTAGTAGTATTTGTTTTAATCAAGATGTGTTTTAATTTATTTTAATCAAGATGTATTGATTAAATAAATCAATACGTTACACAACTACGTTCATATAGGTAGTCTTGTGACCACAAACTGAACTCAAAGTTTACGTTGCTAAGCAGCAACATAAGTGAGTTTTGCCCCATTTTATGACCTTTCTTGCCACAGTTGTTAAGTGAATCACTGCAGTTGTTAAGTTAATAACATGGTTGTTAAATGAATCTGGCTTCCCCATTGACTTTGCTTGTCAAAAGGTTGCAAAAGGTGACCACATCACCCCGGAACACTATAACTGTCATAAATCTGAGCCAGTGGTCAAGTGCTTGAATTTTGATCTAATGACCATGGCAGAGGTCTCTAAACTTGACTGACTTGTGGATCACATGACCATGGCAGAGGTCTCCAAACTTGGCAGACTTGTAGACTTCCACTCCCAGAATTCTCCAGCCAGCGTAGTCTTAAAGTTGTCAAGTTTGGGGACCCCTGTACTATGGTCACAAGTGTGAAAAACGGTCACTGTTTTCAGGGCTCTTGTAACTTTGAACGGTATCAAAGGGAACTGTTGTAAGTTGAGGGCAAACTATATTCTAATCTATGAAACAAAGCCATAATTTATGCTTACCAATCACAGTGGCTGGATTCAATGTGCCAGACTCAAATAAATCATGTTATGGTTTAGGACACTATATAAATCCAGACAAAATCTTTCATCTGATATATGATAGAAGAAGTGGGTTTTTTAAAAGTAGCAAGGTTAACCTCTGATGGATTCATGGATGGTTCATGCTATTTTCTGGGCAACGACACAGAAATGGTTTCCCAACTCTTTCTTCTAAGATATCATTTCAATTTTCCAAACTAACCTACAGCCAGGGCATAGTCTCCCAGTCTCTCATTCAATAACTAACCAAGACCTAACTATGTTTTGTTTTAGTGCCTTAGACATGACATCCCAGGCTGCAACTCGCTGAGATGTATGTCATATCAGTTTTCCTCAAATTTCTATTCTTCAGTTGAATATAATTCCAAACCACATAGCCTCATAGTTAGAGGATGCCCAACTGGGAGCAGTTGAATTACAGGAAAGCAGACATTGGATATTAACAGGGAATCCGAGATTCTGAAAATAATGGTGTGTGGGAGCCCTCCTGGGGGTGTACTCCAGGGCCTGTACTCCTGGTGGCACATTATTTTTTTGCCAGCATCAGGGAAGAACTTGTAAGCTCTTACTTTTGTCATTTGAACATAGTACAAGGCAATTCTAATGAAGGAATGCCTTTTCATGCTTGCTGTCTTTGGAGTGTGCACCTGGAGAAAGAGTGGGGGACAATTTTGGCAGGAGCACCATGGTTTCCTAGGATGGAGGCTGTACATTCCAGAGGGAGTCCAAAATAAGAGGCTGCTAAGTCCTGAACTGGGTGGCAGAGGGAAGAAAAGATACAGGGGAGTCACATCCTAGAACCGTGATGGCACAGGACCCCAAAAAGGTTAGCCACCACTGCCCTAGAATCTCCAGGTAATCTATATTAGGTTAGAAGGTTATATAGCTTTAGTCTGGCAAGCTTCTGTCTATTCGGTGTAAACAAATTGAGAATTGGAATTCACTGTGTTGTCTTGGGGTTTGGATTCGACAGCATGTGAGCTCCAGGAACACTTTTGATGTTTCTCTTGTGATGACAGACACGGATTGGCATGAACGCAATCTCAGAGGCATTTTAAAATAGATCATTTGAAGCTATTTGTTTAGTAGTGTTCAGTCAAAATGATTTCTCAACAATATGTTACAGCAAGAAAAGCACATTACTATTACGCACAAAATATCTGCCAAGCAGTTAGACTTATTTCAGTAATGGGTATTTATGTCATGTTTTTAGTACTTGATAATTAGGCTGGGGAAGCTGATTACAAGCCTCATAACTACATAAACTGGCAGATCTGGAGAAAAGGGAAGAAAGAGGAGGAAGAACTGTACATCCATGTAATATATAAATAGAACGGGAAGAGTACAGGAATAGGTACAGCCTTGGCACTATAAAAAGCATACATGGAGTTTCTACAGAGGAGATTAGAGAGTGAGAGACTAAAATAACTGCTGAAAGATTGTTTAACAATCCATTCTAGCTAGGTTGGAAGGGACTTTACATGATGCTTTCCCTAATAATATGTGAGATCTTGGCAAGAAACTACATTTATCTCCTTTGAATTACAAAAAATGATGTATTTTGCAAGCTTATATGTGAGTTCAAAATGAACTACTAGAACAAATAGGCAAAAATAAGGATCTGTGTATGTGGAAAGAGATATGAATGTGATGTATGTTAATTTTCTTTTATTTTTTCTCCCAGAACAAAACAACACAAATGCAGAATTTAAAATAGAGAAATGCCAATAAAACCCAAATATATAAAATTTAAAATAAAGGACAATTCCCATTAAACAGTAGTGAAAAGAGAATATCAGTCAGGAGCTGCAAGCCAGGGCTATTGCAAGAAATTTGGCAATTTTTGTAGAGGTTGTCCAAGTTAGGTTTTATGAAAGGATAATCGTAGTTTCTTGAACAGAAAGACAACTAAACATTCTGCTAAATCAGTTTTATGAATATCAGATATCATCATTGGGACAATCAGAAGTATAATAATATTAGATTATTGACTGTACCTCTGTACCTGAACAGAAATAGGTATGGTTGTTGTTTGGGAGATTAGCATATTTGTCTATAAAATATATCAATATAAGCCAAGGTGAAAAGCAGTGGTGGGATTCAAAAAGTTTTACTACCAGTTTCGTGGGCATAGCTTGGTGGGTGCGCGTGTGTCAAAGGCGCACTTTGCACATGTACAGAGGCGTTTGTGCAGGCGCAAAGGCGTTCCAACTCACCTCCTTCAAGCCTGCACTTTCCTGGTCGCTTCAGCAGCTGCCGTGCAACACTCTGCTGTGCCACGCAAAGCAGCTGCGCTTCAAAAGCAGAGGATAAAGCTACTATGGAAGCCCAGGTGGGCAGGTGGGCTCAACAGCGGAGCGGAGGAGAGAACCGGTTTGGTCTCTGCTGCTCATCGCTGCTACCAGCTCAGCAGAACCGGGCCGAACCAGTAGAAAACCACCCCTGGTGAAAAGTCTCCTGTATGAAATATTCAGGATATTATAGAAGTAGCTAGGAATTATCCATAGAGAACCTGTAATTGTACAAAAATAAAAATTGGTTTTTGGCCCTGTCGTTTTATGAATCTAAAACCTCTGTTTGCATTTGATTAAAACTTTACCTGGGCTAGGAGACAATATTACCTGGAGTGAGAGACACCATAATATTCTAGATAGAATCAATTTGTCTCTTCAGTTGGGTGAGGTGAATCCGAGATGCACCCTAAAGGATTTGCTTCAGCCAAGATCCAAGTTGGCAAATTCTAAGATAGGCCCCAAGAAAAATGCAACCTAGCTGAATTGAACAAGGATATGGAGCTGGGCTTTCAGTACTTAGACTGAACAGCTTCTGAAATAGGAGAATAGCAATAAGCCTAGAATCTTTCCTTTAAACAATTTTCTTGCTGCAGAAATGTGATTACTGCCATGGTGATTTAAAGTATAGTGATGTGATCAACACAAATTACAAAATTCATATTGTTTGTATACTGATGTCATGATCCATATGATGACATTATAGATTTCACTGCACGCTGACCAATTGTACAAAGTAATACTGTTTCTGTGGGAATTTTAGATTGTTTAGATTCCAGTTAATGCAGCTCAGTGAAGGTCCAATAAAAACACAAAACATGAAATTGTCATGAATCAAATTTAAATAGCAACGTTGAACAGTTAGACAAAATCACTTCATAATGAAAACCAGCCAAAACTAATGGGGATATAGCAAAAAAGATCTAGAAAACCCTAATGAAATGTACTGAATTTAATGAAATTGAATGAAACCAATGCTTTGTTGTACTCACAACTACCTCAGTTCCTGGCTAAAGGACAATGTTATGTTATTGCTGGCTCAGAACAAATTTTTGATCAGGCCAGTGGATATTTCTTTCAACTGAATTTATATAGAGAGCAACTTTAATTAAGAACATTGTACATCCAAGTAATTTCATGAAAGGGTCTCAGCCCTGGTTGCTGATGAAGTGGTACATGATTAATAAATGGTTTCTTTTTAAAAATGCTTTTCATATACAGATTAAGAATGTGTGTGTGAGTGTGAAATAGGATGGCAAATTCAATCATTTTAAATTTCTATCTGTTTATCCCTCTCTTATAGGAAAGCAATCTCCAGGTCTGGGCTTCAACATCTGACTCCTGTTCAAAACCTCAACCTGGGCATCAGTAATGGACCTGTGAAGGAGCCGAGAATGGCACTAGAATGGAGTGTAAGGTGTTCCTTTTATAAAACCCTGGATATAATGCTATATCACTGATGTAAATGCCACACAACTATTATGAACGTATTTTGGTATTCTTTATTTACTATAGAGACTGTACATTCTCTTGTGTTTATTCGTTTATTCACATTTTGATTGAGATGGAGAACATACGGCACTTCAACTGATGTTCACTTATTTATGCTTCTTGGAGCTTTCTGCAAGAAAGATAGGATAGAAATGTTCTAATAAAGGGCCTATGAACACACATAACTTCCTCATGTTCTTCCTTTTAATATGCTTCTCCCGTTCTCATTTCAGTTTTGAGAAAGATTTGAACCTTGCTTGCTCCTCCCTTGAGCTAAGCTTCAAGTAGTGACTGAACCTGGATCAGCCAAACTTTATAGTGTATTTAACTGCCAGGATATTTAGAATCATGAAGTCAAGTGACCAATGTGTAAAAATACTCAACAGATTTGCTTTTGCAAATAAATATAAATAGAAGCAAATTTTCTATTCACATTTATGTGAAATATTGTAATCATGCAGGAAAGAAGTCTACTTAGTTAACTTATGGAGCTAAGTAAATCTATTTAAACTTACAGGTTTTATGAGTAGATCTATGAAATATGAATATGAATCCACAGGAGATCAACACAGGTTTACTTTGGTATTTTCTGATTTAAACATTGAGTTGCAATAAGCCAACTGTTTTGTTGATGTTACTTTTTTATTTTAAAAAAACCTATTTTTTCAATCAAGGTGACATGGTAGTTGCAGCTTCCCTGTTTTTCAGAAATCTTCTATTGCATATTTTTTATTGGACTAAAAGGAATGGCTTTGGTTATTACTGCTAAAGTATTTTTGCAGTCTTAATGCATTTGCCATTTGGCTGAGTTACCTTTTAACAAGTACAATTTATAGAAGAAAAGCATTTAATAACTCAGCGGTTTAAACAATCAGGGATATTGAAAATAAGTTTTAAAAGGTTACTATACAGGTGATCTGCAAGCAATTTGCTATCAGATACCATCTGGCTGGGAGGCACAAAAATCTTGTGGGTTTTTTTTCCAAGTGGAAGCCAAAATGTAAGTTCTGTGCAATATATCACAGTTTGATGTGCATTCATGTTTGTTTGAGTGTATTTGTATGTATACATGGTATATATAGATATGTTCCTCTCTGTTTTATGTGTATGCACACGTGCAACAAAACAGGGTTTTCTTATTTCACATATTTGTATCTAGATTTTTCGTATGCTTGTGAAAGCTTCTATCAGAACTGCTTTATTTTTTCTTCTTAAATTTATTCTGAATTGTGAGCTTCAGGTTCCTAAGTATGGGATTGATACACCAGGAAAAATCTATTAGAGAAATGTCATTTCACATTCTTTTGTACCAATTATAATGGCAGCCAATTATGGAGTGTCTTCTGAGCATCATGGAAAAAAAATATGTGGCTGCTAAGAATCCCTAAGAGACTTTATGGCACATAATCAACTGATCAATCAAATTTAAGAATCTGAAGCAAACAAATGATTTGTCTGAGGTTTTTCAGATGTTAATTAGGACAAGCAGAAAGTATGTATTTAGAAGAATTTGGGAACAACTGAGGTACCTGCATTTTGATAATGTTGTCATGAATGTGGTAGACACAATGAGATCCTTGGGACTATTAGATGTCTCCTAGATAAAGCAAGATTTTATGTGCACTTTTATTTTTCCTTCTGAGTCAAAAGCTTGGTTTCCATATCTGCTATGTTACCATGGTAGATGGCAGATATGTAACCATGGTTTATTAAATCATCATGCAAGATGCTTAACCCTAAACCATAGTTTACAAATAACCCTGGTTGGAGTTACAGAGCTCACTGTGGCTGAATGAAATGTGTGAACCCAGGCATTCTTATTTAGTTCACCTTTGAGCCCTGCTAAGCAGCTTTGGAATACGCTTAATTGTGTGATGGCTGGATGAAGTAGCTACATGAACTTCAGAATGAAAGGTGAATCCTGCTACTATCTTTTATTCCAGCAATTTTAATTAAGATAACAGATAACAGATAATCAGAGTTGGAAGGGACCTTGTATGTCATCTAGTTCAACCGGGGGGTTGGCCCAAGCGGGAGACCCTATACCATTTCGGACAAATGGCAGTCCAATCTCTTCTTGAAAGTCTCAAATGATGGCACTCCCACAATTTCCCAGGGCAAGCTGTTCCATTAGTTAATTGTTCTCACTGTCAGAAAGTTTCTCCTTATTTCCAGGTTAAATCTCTCCTTGTTCAGTTTCCATCCATTGTTCCTTGTCTGGCCTACAGGTGCTTTAGAAAATAGCTTGACCCTTTTCTCTCTGTGGCAGCCCCATAAATATTGGAACACTGCTATTATGTCTTTCCTGGTCCTTCTCTTCATCAGACTAGCCAAGCCCAGTTCCTGCAACCGTTCGTTGTATGTTTTAGCCTCCAGTCCCCTAATCATCCGGGTTGCTCTTCTCTGTACTTTTTCTAGAGTCTCCGCATCTTTTTTATAGTGTGGTGACCAAAACTGGATGCAGTACTCTAGGTGTGATCTTCTATAGCTGCCATCTCAATCACTGATTCTGGGCAGCTTACAGTTCAAAAAATATGCAATCAAACAATAAAACAAGTTCACATTTATATATGAAACTCATGCATTGAACAGACTCTTTCATACAACTTTTGGATGATTGGAATAATTAGCAACTGTATTGGGTATCCTTGCATTTTGAAATATGGGATTAAAAAAAAGTTAAAAGAACAGCAAAACATAGACCAGAGGTTTATAAAGTTGACTTCAGACTTTTAGCCAATTTCTGTAAAACAGCTGAGCTTTTGTATTTGTATAAGCTTTTCAAACAGAATGAGTTTTTATATACGTTTACTTAGAAATAAGAGCTACTGTGTTAAACAGGACTTATTCCTGGGAAACATGGAATATTAACATATTTTCTTTCTTTTTTTTAAAGTAACATTATTACAATTACCCTGGTTATATTTTAGTTTTTTTTGTCTTGAATGACCTTGTTAATGCTGTATTAACATAGACAGTTAAATAATTGTCAACATAAAGGTGTTAAGTAGTTAATTTATGAAAGCATAGCATTAGCAAAATCCAAGAAATGATCCTACCAATTTGTTTGAGAAGCAATCTATTTATGTTTCTGTTCTTCCAGGAAAATGCAATAAATGGTGAACATCTCTGGCTGGAGACCAATGTATCTGGAGATCTGTGTTACCTGGGAGAGGAAGGCTGCCAAGTTAAATTCTCAGTGAGTGTCCTATTTTCAGAATTTCTTCAGTAAATCACTCTAGTGTACATATACGCTGTGAATTCTCTCCACTGGAACACGGTGGAATCCTGCCAGTACCTCTGGGTGCCTTAGAGGGAGATGGTAGTGATGGACCTGGCTGACCCATCAGATGTCATGGAATATGGTAACCACTTCAGATTTTCCAGCAAAGAGGACCCAAAGACATTCCGTATAATTTTTGGCTGTATTATTTTATTTCTAACTTAGAAACTACTGCTATACTCTTGATGATGGTTCTGCTATTGCATGGAACACTATAATCCAGGGGTGTCAAACTTGATTTCATTGAGGGCCGCGTCAGGGTTGTGTTGGATCTTGGGGGGCTTGGGGTGTGTGGCCAGGCTGTGTGTGGCCAGCTCAACATTACTTGTGTCAGGGGCACTTATGGTGGCTTGAGCCCTGTTTTGCTGGCAGAGGGCTGCAGAAGGCATACAATATATGAGCTCCGTTCTCACTGGCACCACAGGCTGTTTTGCTGTTTCCAGGGAGGCCCCATAGGCCAGATCTAAGCACCCCTGGGTGCAGATAACTTATCAACTTGGTTGAATGATAATCGCTGAAGGACCACATCAAGAACCTTGGTATTGCAGTGGTTAGAATGCAGTACTGCAGGCTAGTTCTGATAACTGCCAGGTGACTGCAATTTGGCAGATCGAATCTCACCAGGCTCAAGATCGATTCAGCCTTCCATTCTTCCAAGATGGATAAAATGAGAATCCAGATTGTTGGGGGAAATATGCTGACTCTGTAAAACTGCTTAAAGAGGGCTGTAAAGTACTGTGAAATGGTAAATAAGTCTAAGTGCTATTGCTATTGCTATAGTACAGGCTCTTCCTTCTCAGTATTCTTTGAGGATTTTTACTCTAGCAATTCATAGGACCATTCTCTCCCCCCTCCGCATGATCATTTTATATTTTTAAAAAAATATAAGAGATGATACAGGTAGAAGAACAAGTATAATGAAAGATGGGTGGAGAAACAAATCTAAAATAGCAAAAACTATATTAATTGGAAGCTTATGTTATTGTAAGAAATTGTATAATGTTGAATTTTGAACTAAAATGTTTGGCCAACATGGGTCAATTTATTAAGGGGAGATTGTACAACACACATTAAATCGGTGTTGTAAGTTGTATGTCAAGCATCTAACACCCAAAATTTGGATGTGGCATGATTTCCTCTATAAGATTGTAGTCCAAGGATGGTTTTATAGTACCATTCTGTCATTTTGATGTATCATTAATGCAGAGAGGCCTTATATTGCCAAGGTGATGGATAGATGATCTATAGATCAGAAGTATGGAACCCTCCAGGTCCTACCCACATATTTGGAGTGGACTGCTCTAAATCAAATATTATCTTATTTGCAAAGTAAGGTACATGCTGCCATATCTACTGAGTAGAGAGCTGTTAATAGCACCTTCATCATTATATATTTTATGTACATTAGACCAAGGGTGGGATTCTACAGGTTTGCACCTATTTGCTAGAGCTGGTTGTTAACATTCTAAGCAGTTCAGAGAACTGGTTGTTAGAAGAAATTATTGGCCTAATCCTGTAAGAAAGGCAGGAAGGAAACATTCTGGTGTTGCTTACAGAAACTGCCCCTCCATTAACTCTAATTACATTCTTGGAAGGACTAGACTTCCTGTCTCAGGAACTTCTCTGGAGTTTTTTTCCTCCTTTGCTGGTACTTTGCTTGTGTGGAGTGACCATTCAAAGTTACAATGGTACCGAAAAAAGTGACTTATGACCATTTTTCACACTTATGACTATTGCAGCATCCCCACAGTCATGAGAGGCCAGGCGAGGAGATGCATGCCTCAATGTGAGTGATGTTGAGTTGGCCACACCCAGCCAGTCACATGACCACCAAGCCATGCCCACCAACTAAGCCACGCCCACAGAACTGGTTGTTAAAAAAATTGAATCCTACCCCTGCACTAGACCATGAAAGAAGTCAATTGAAAAATGAAGTGAAGGCAAATAAGAAGAACAGGCACCTGCCTCTTATCATTAGCACCTGCCTGCAGTGTCCTTGTACAATTACTGAGTGTATATGATTGCATTCATATCTACAGGCTTCCCTTGCATGCAAATTCACTATTACACAATTGATAATTTTTGGCAAAAAACAAATTGGTTAAATTTTTAAAAACCTCTTTATTATTCCACGTGGATGTTTCTTGATTTGTGAATTTTAGGAAACATACCCACGCCAGCATGCAAAAGCAGTGCATTTAGCAAAGGGGCTCTGAAATATTTCTTCCTTAAAATACATCACCCCAAATAGCAGTGATTATATTTGCTTTGACTAATTTGTAGGTTGGAGATTTTGGATGAAAAAATGGTTATATTGTTGTTTTCACTTCCAAGTTCAGATGAAGAGCTACTGGGGGCAGACTTACTCTGTATTCAACAGACCTGAATAGGAATAATTTTCATAGTTTCATTTTATTTGCTTTAAGCCAGTGTGATGTAGTCAGATTATAATTTAGAAGTATAGATTAAATTCATATCAGTCATGGAAATTCAATGAGTTATTTTGGGCCAGGTACTATCATGTCATACAACCAACTTCACAGGGTTTCTCTGGAGAAAAAATAGAAGAGAGAGATAGAGAGATGATAGATAGATAGGGTTTGGGGAAATAGGTCATAGCAAAACTTTGCTCTTTTTGTCTGGCAAAAAGAATAAAAACTGAGTAAGTCATCATTTTATTATTGAATATACATTTTTGCACATGTATTTTGAGTGTAAAGAAATTAAGAATAGAGAATGTTTATTATACATACACCTCCCGGGATAAATGGACACTTCCCTTTGCTTTGTTTTTCTTCTGTTAATGTTTCAGAAATCAGCTGTCCGAAGAAAATGCGCTGCCTGCAAGATTGTGGTCCACAACGCCTGCATGGAGCAACTGGAAAAGGTAAGATGATGCCACCTGCTGGCCAAGATGTGGCAAAGAACACAACAAAAGCATTTGTTTAGAAATTGAAACAACATCTAAAGTGAGATTTAGGCTAAAGTGCAACCATTCTATATGCCCAGTTTCCACTCCCCCGTTTACAACAGTCACCATGACTGTAACCTGTATTCAGTTTTACAACAAGAATCTAGTAGCACCTTTTCTGACTCACACATTTTATTAAAAGCCATAAACCACAGCTCACTTCTGTCAGATGCAAAAATGGAGTGGCGGGGGGAGGGAAGAGAAAGAGCGGAGAAGATGGTAGCTTATGAGGATGCAGGCTATATGTGAGACAAATTACAAGAGCCTTATCAATTAGTAATTATATTGTGTTAAAAATCCAAATTTCTATCCGTCCGTGCATCTGATGATGTGGGCAGTAGCTCATAAAACCTTATGCTTTTTAAAAAATAAAATGTGCCAGTTGAAAAGGTGCTACCAGACCCCTCCTAATTTTTTACACAATAGACCAGAGTTCCCCAACCTTTCCAGCTTTGAGGAACACTGGTGGAAGGGAGAAGGGATGGTTCATCAGAATGGCTGGCAATTGCACATGTACTCATACAGTTCCCTTTGCGTGAGTGGTGGATATGCATGCACATGCTTTCTCACTGCTCGGGGAAGTGAGGATGCACGCAGATGTGTGTGATCTTCTGCTTCCACATCCCAGTTCTGAATAGCTCATGGCCCAGTAGTTGTCTGCGGCCCAGAGGTTGAGAACCATGCAATAGAGTAATACAGCTCTCACCCTATTCATTTTTTATTGAATTCTTCTGTTTTTTGTCAGCTCTCCAAGGTAGTCCAGTCAAGGTCCAGTCCCAACTCTAACTTTATTGTAAGGCCAATTAACAGAATTTTGTAAGTTTGAGAGTACATTTCCCCTCCCTCATCTTTGCAATCCAAGAAACTAAGGAAGGGTACTGTTCTGCCCTTTATAATTACTGGCTGAATGTATAAAGGCAGACAGATTTCAACTCCACAAAGGCATCCATACAAAGTCTCTTTATTGGTTCATCAGGCATCCTCATATATAACTCACAGTTACATCAAGATTCATCTCAATGTCCAATTCTTTGCATAGCTGACTTCATGGTGTAAAAAGGATAGTGATCTTTCATCCCATAGTAGTGGAGCAAAGGGGAGAGATGTCAGCACGATGCTGGAGTCTGAGCAAGAGTGAAGGAACCTCCCCCAACCCACCAAGGGTCTATTCAGCAACCACGTGACATGGACTACATTTCCCAGGATGCCTTCCCTTAAAGGGATAGCTCCCAATTCCTAACTACCTGTCCCCATTCCTTATTAGCTATATACTGGCTGGACAGCACAGGTACCTTCTGAGATGTTTGCCATTATCCCATTCCTTTTGGGGGCTCAGCTGCCTCTTATCTGATTGTTGCCTAGCCTCTGACCCATTTTCTTCTTGTTTCCCAAGGCTAGTCTCACATACCATGACCATTTTTATTTTGGCTGCTATAAATGATGATGTTCCCCTGCACCTCTTATTTGGTCAGGGTATAGAGAGTAATGGGCAAAGTGTCAATACCCCTCACATACAAAAGCTAACTGGATGTGAAGTTAATTAGTCTTTAATTTAATATTGGTAAAGTTAATTAACTTATAATATAAGTTGTGTTGCAGGGCAGACCATATAGAGCAGACAGTTTGATCATTCCTACTTTCTTAGTTTTGGTCCATTCTGCCTAATGGTAGAGACAAACCCAGTTTGAGCAATGGTTTTCATCTAACATATAGAAGGGATTATGAGTTAACACGATATATATGATGTTTTGTTCCATAAAGCAAATGCTAGATTTCTTTACTGTGGTTATTCTGTAATCACTGGCAAATATGACAAGGATGTTCTGATATATCTTCTGGAAGCAATCAACTATAGGAGACTCCCAAGGTGCCTTTTCAGGAGGCAATTGGACTTTCATGGTTTTAAATATGAAGACAATTCACTTCTCACCGAAGAAGCTTCTTCAGCTCTGACAGTATAGTGGGAATGGAAGGATTTATATTCCTTGCGTACCACTGGTAACCTGCATCCTTTTAGAGAAGGGGTGCCAAACTCAAGGCCCGCTGGATCTGGCTCATGAGGTGCTTAAAACCAGCCCACAGGGCTGGCCTAGAAACATCAAATGACCAGCCCATAGTGCCTCTGTTAGCCAAAACCGGCCCATTTTTGACCAGTTTTCAGCAGAGTACTACAGGAGGCCATGGAGAGCAAAAATGAGATGTGGGGAAGCCATATGTGCCCCCACCTTCACCCTGTTTTGGCCGGTAAAGTACTGCAGGAAGCTGTTCAGGTCGAAAACAGGGCAGAGGGGGCCATTCCCCATTGGCCAGCAGGAGGCTGCAGGAGGTGTCCATCCCATCTCCCTGCACTGCCTCCCCTGGCCCACGGAAGAGAATCACAGTGCTGATCCAGCCCTTGAGGAAATCCAGTTTGACACCCCTGCTTTAGAGGGTCATTTTATAGGCTTGTTAAAAGGATGCAGATTGCCAGCTGTCTGCAAGGAATATAGATCCTTCCATTCCCCACTATCCTGTCAGAGATGGAGAAGATTCTTGGATGAGAAGCAAAAAGTCTTCAAAAGAAAAACAAGAAAGTCCAATTGCCTCCCGAAAAAAGCACCTCTGGGACAAGCAGGACCTGGAAGACGGAAAATCTCTACAAACCTTAGAAGAGTAACCAAATTCTATTTACTGCAAGGAGAACAATGTCCTGTGATATTTTAAAGAATAATTTTGTTTTGGTTACTTTTTTTTTTCTAGTGAGGAACAGGTTGGGTATAGCATCACAAACAAGCCTTTTCCCTAATGAAATCTCATGCCAGAAATCAGGGCCTTTTATCATGCTGCAGAGTCTGATTTTTAATTGATTTGAAAGAAAATACAAGTTTCTATTACATATAAATGTTGTATAAGCTTTGTGGAGCAGGCAAGACTAAAGGCAATGTTATTTTTTTTTAATTAACAAAAAAGAAGCATTCGTCTTCTTTTTTTGTAAATAAAATGATGGTAATTGTACACATCACCAAGGAGCCATGTTTGATTCTATTTTGTTTTGATTACCAAGAACAAATAGACTTGTGGCACACAAAAGAGCAATGAATACCTTGTGTCGTAGGCTTTTATTTTCAATTGCTGATTTGTCAGTTGCATGAAGGGATGTCTTAATTGTGCATGCTAGTCTACATTGCAGATGTGTGTTTGTGTCATCAAAATGCATATTTTAAAAAAAATGCTAGGCAGAGAAGAAACTTCAAGTTCTAAAAAGCTGGAGATTCTAAAAAGCCACATTGGTCCAATTTTCTTGATGACCTTTAGGAGAAATCACAAATATCTTCCCCTACAAATTTGTTACTGAAGGTGTCTCAAGGAATTCATCATGAATATAGTCATAAAGGACTTAGATCAGCTATTGCCACTCAATTAAATGAGGTTTTAATAGTAAGCTGGCTGTGGGTTTTCTTTTCTTCATACACTATCTATGTTAATCTAAATTAGTTTATGAGGAAAATTTATGGCCAGCTCATTTAAATCTCCCTTAAACTTATCTTGTAGTGATAAGTAATCTACTCTATTGAGTGCCTAGAGTTTAAAATGTAATTTTAAACAATATCATTATATTTTAGATAGCATTTTTACTGTGATATGATCTAGCAAGCTATCAGAAATTAAAAGCAACACTTAAAGCAGATCATTAAAATTATACATTCTTGAAATGAATGGTATTTTCACTATAATTTTACATGAATTTATAGTTAGGAGATTTGATGATGTTTTGTTGTGTGAGCCACTTAGAGGTTTATATTGTGATTGGACAAATAATTTTAAATAAATAATTATTAATAAGAGAGGGTTTACTCACATTCTCCAGGAACTCTATAGGTCTAGAACACTTAGGAATTTGATTTATTTTTTTGTCTTTGTTTTTAAGGGTAACATGTTTTATTCTAATTTTGTTTAAAATTCTATTCATTTCTTGTAAACTGTGTAAACTGTGAGCTTCTCTGGGAGAAAGAAAATGAATATATCTGAGCAATTTCCAAATTGCAAAATAGAATCATATCTTAAATATTCATCCTGAAATGTGAAGAGAATTCAGACGGAGATTAATTATATTTTCTCAGTCCTTGGCTTTGTGATCTTTGGAGAATTGACTGAAAATATTTTATTACATTTAATTTAATAACATTTAGCAAGAGATTGCACGTCTGCTATCTTATTCTCCTTTACTTCTCTCTCCTAATAACATCTAGTAATATCACACAGGTGATACAGGTGCCCCTATGTTGGAATTTTTACCTGCATTGCCATGATTTTGTAGAGTGGTGTGGTGGGCTAGAGATGGAGCTCTCACCTCACAATCAGGAGGCTGTGAGTTCGATCCTAGGTAGAGGCAGATATTTCTCTCTCTGGGTGCACTGAGAATATATCTGCCGAATATAACTCCACACATTGGCGACAGACAGGGCATCCGGCCAGTAAATACGCACTCAGCTTCATTCAGTTGCCCAGACTCCACCCTGCAAGGGATTATGGGATCATTAAAAGAGGATAATGATTGCCAGGATTTTATAGGAATAGCAATGTTCGTTGCAAAGTATTTTACATTACACATGTTGCTATTGATCCATTTATACTTCGCACAGGCTATTTTACAAGCTGTGGACCTTCCAATCTAATCTCAAAGGATTGTGAGTAAAAGCCAATCCATTAAAGATACAGTGAAATGGTTAAAATAGAGTAGCTAACAAGAGACAAAACTAAATAAAAAAATATTCAGTTAAAAGAGAATGTACTAAAGAAAGGTAAGGCCTTCATCAGACACTGAAATCAATGAGAATCGTTGGTAAACAAGACTTTCTGTAGAAAGCATTATCCTGGTATGGAAGAGAATATCATATAGGACCTCATTTTCTTCCCTTCAATTATTATTATTTATCTCACATGAAACCCTCTAGCCTCTTCATTGCAGTTTTTGTTTTCTATTGTTGAAAGCTAGTTGCATAATTTCTTAACATTTTTAACTATTTTGTATGTTTCACCCAATATCATTCTAAGCTTTGCAAACTATATTAAATGTACCTCTGAGTCACCAAAAAAATTGTCCATTCCTATTATTATCTCATGGAATAGTGTAGATGTACCAGTGGGTGGCAACGCTTTATGTTTTTTACTCACCACAAATAAACTACCATGAGATTTGCTAGATGATACATATAGATTATGGGGTCTTTGGTATTCTTTGAGCTTGGTGGTTTTCTTGCAGATGCTTCATTACTGCTACTAATGAAACATCTAAAAGAGGACCACCAAGCTCAGAGACCATTAAGGACCATCCAGTTCAACCTTGAGCTACAAATATTATCTTCTATTGATTGACTCAAAATCATTCAGGGGAGTATTTGAAGTTTTGTCCTCCTTGTTGCGCGCTTTTACCTTAACTATTACAGCATATAATATTTTCTGAGGAAAATTGTCATGTTGCATTTGAAAAAGGTTTGAAATTTTTTGGGGAGATGTCTATGATCCTCTTCAAATAAGCTGATGTTCTCTAGATGCTATAGAGCTCTGCACACCAGAACAACTAGATACAAGAAAGTTTTTTTCCCAAATGCCATCACTCTGCTAAACAAATAATTCCCTCAACAATGTCCAAATATTTACTAACTCTGCATTGCTATTAATCTTCTCATTATTCCTATCACCCATCTCCTCCCACTTGTGATTGTATGACTGTAACTTCGTTGCTTGTATCCTTACAATTTATATTGACTGTTTCCTAGTATGATTTGATTGCTTATTTATACCCTATGACTAACATTAAGTGTTGTACCTATGATTTTTGATGAATATATCTTTTCTTTTTATGTACACTGAGAGCATATGCACCAAGGCAAATTCCTTGGGTATCTAATCACACTTGGACAATAAAGAATTCATTCATTCATTCATTCATTCATTCATTCATTCATTCATTCATTCCTATGTACACATACTATCAATGTGCACCATCAGTATATTTGGGTAATGAAATGTATCCTCCTGTCAGTGTCTCTGACTATCATGCTTTGATCATATTACAAAAGAAGACACTACATTTATACATGGAGGCATTCTCCATCCACCTGGGAAATCTGGCTTCACACAGATGAGTGACTCTTCCCATGTATGTGCTTGTATCCCACCCCAGAAACTGGACATGGCCATGGGTGGCAAAAGCAGTGGAATCAAATGGCACTGAATACTTGAAAAATGCCTTATCAACCAAATAATGTCTTCGTAGCTCCCATTATAAAGACTCAGGGGTGGGATTCAGCTGGTTTGGGCCAGTTTGAGCAAACCGGATGCTAAATTTACATCTGGTTCACCGAACTGGTAGTTGAACTAACTGGCCGGCCCCACTCACCCCGTCCCTCCTCTCCCAGGAGTCTCCAGGCAGCCCGTTTTGGATACAGGTAAGTGCAGTTTCTGCGCGGAGGCTCTGGGAGGGCGAAAAACAGCCCTCCCAGAAGCTCCAGAAGTCCGGGCCTCCAGAACCCGGGGGAGGCTGTTTTCACCCCCCCAGAGGCCCGAGGGAAGCCTCTGGACTCTGGGGAAGGCGAAAAACAGCCCTTCCAGAAGTTATGGAAGTCTGAAAATGGGCCTGTTTCCAGCTTCTGGAGAGCCTCCGGAGCCCAGGGTAAGCATTTTCACCCTCCCAGAGGCCTAATGGAAGCCTTCAACTCTGGGGAAGGTGAAAATCGGCCCTCCTGGAAGTTCCAGTAGGCCACACTCACCCAGCAACTGGGCAGAGAACTGGTTGGGATTTTTGAATCTCACCCCTGCATACACTTCTAATTTGAAATCTATCAGTGTAAGCTTTTGCATGGAATATATATTGTACATGGAAAGAGTGACACCAGGAAAGGACTGTGCTTCTTCCCTTAGCATTATTCCCCACAAAATGCAGTTTAAAATTACATTGAGAATTTCTATAGAGAAAGAATGTTCTCTCTGCACATGGAGGTGGTCAAGGGAATAAAGTTAAGTGCATTCATTCCTTTCCTCTTTTTGTGTTCATAATATCCTCACTTTAAAAATGCTTGGAGTGAGCTGCAAAGTTCAATACATTCATAGGAAACTTTATTCCATTGATCACGTCAAATATGGTATAACTACTGCATGTCAATAATATTTCTTTATGCTTTTTATAAAGTAGTCATTTCATACCTCCATATATCTGTTTTCTGGCACTATGGGCATTTGAGTTCTGGCAATATAAATGACATATCCTGAACTGCCTAGAAATGATTTGAAAATTACTTTGAAAATCTGCCACTTAGATGTAGCTATCAAATCAAATGTGTTTTCTGCTGTCTCATTTGTCTTCAGTATTTTATTTTGGCTTTCTGGTTCAGTGCTTTTATTATCCCTAATACCAAATTTGAGTAAATAACAATTTGTAACATGGAGCAAGTTAGTTTGGGGAATTATCATAGCCTGGAGCAATTTGTGATGTTTGTTGTGGATTTCCTGCTTGATTGTTCTAGTGACAATCTGGTAATCATTATTGTTTGGTGGTTTTTTTGGTTTGCTTCCCTCCTGACAGATTAACTTCCGGTGCAAGCCAACTTTTCGAGAAGGCAGTTCCAGATCTCCAAGAGAGGTGAGTGGCAGGAGAGAGTTTGCCCCTGAATGATACATGTAGCTTTACCTGAATGACACTTATCACTAAGGAGTCTGAGTGTGATGGAATGAAATAAGAAGAGGGATTCCCAGGAGGGAGGGGTGCATTCCAGAGGAGTAAGAGGCATCTCAATCTGAATATTATATGTGACAGTGTCAGGCACAAAGGATCAGAACCATTTGTTGAGTTTCAACATGGAAGTTTTATGCAAGCCTAAACACAAGAATCCAGTCAACTAATGTTCAGTACTAAATTGGTGACAGATAAGAGTGAATGGAATTCAAGAGGGGTTGGATTTGGACTGTTTGTGGCAACATAAAGATGCTAAGCTGATGACATGTTTAACTCTGCCCCCAGCTCTGCCTGCTCTTCTTCTACAGATAGAAAAAGACTGCATCACCCAAATAGTTTATAGAGCACATTGTAGATGCAGTAGAGATGTAGATGTGGAGTTCTCAATCTGCAAGATTTTGCCTATAGGTGTGAGAATAATACAGAACTCAGCTTGAAAGAATCACCACATATCATTTGTCATTTTGGGCCCGACACTGAGTGCTTAATAGACTTATGCAAGATGTTTTTTACCTTGATAAAGTGCTCTTCACTATGGAAGTAAAATGAGTTTCCTCACAAAGGCAAAAAGGAGACAGGTTGAACTCAGCCTATATAATTTTGCGCATTGTGAAATGCAGAATAGAGCTTTATTCAATAATCATATTAGAGTGTTGTGTGATTATAGGCATGGAGGTGCTAATAACTGGGAGGGACTGGAAAGAAAAATTTCTCAGAAATAATTAGAATGGATTATTAATTAGTATGGGAGTTCTAATCTCACACATCTAAAAGGCATCATATTTCAAAAGGTTAAGAAGTCCTATGGCCTAGGGCAGTGATGGTGAACCTGTGGCACACATGCCAGAGGTGGCACGCAGAGCCCTCTCAGTGGGCACACTCACCATCACCAGCTGCTCTTCTGCTTTCTGGCATGCCAGACAGCTGGTCTTTGCAGGCACTGGAGCATGAGAAAACAGTCCAAAAAATCCCCCCAAAATATGCCATTTATGGACCATTTTCAGGCCATTTTTCAGACTGTTTTTGGCATGAAAAAATAGTCTGAAAATGGCCTGGAAAACAGCTCAGAAAATGGCCCAAAATGTCCTGAAAATGGCCAAAAACCTGACAGTTTTCCAGGCTGTTTTTCAGGCCGGTTTCCAGGCCATTTTCCAGGCCATTTTCTGCCTGTTTGGGGGCATTTTTCAGGCTGTTTTCAAGCCATTTTGGCAGGAAAAATGGCCCCCAAATAGATTGGAAATGGCCTGGAAAACAGCTCAGAAAATGGTCCATAAAATGGCCAAAACCAGGCAGTTTAGCCACTTCTTTTCAGCATCATGGCAAGTTTCCACTATAAAAGATCTTCCTATGTGCTTCAGAACATCTTATTATGCATGATTACCTTTTGCCAATGTGAGGTAATGTCTGTGCTCTCTTATAGGTAGGTTGGTCAATGTTCTATAAATAGAGTTGGGGTTGAATTGGAGTGCATTTTAAATTAATTCTTTTCCTTGCTGGTGTTTCTCTGTTGTACAGAATTTCGTTCGACATCACTGGGTTCACAGAAGGCGACAGGAAGGGAAATGTAAACAATGTGGAAAGGTATAAATAATGCCATCAAAATCTGTAAAAAAAAAAAAATATAAATTCTAGTCTTTAGGGTCTCTTCTTCTAGCAGCATAATCAGCCTCTTTAAAGATATTAAAACCGAGGCCTATACTGTAGATTTTAATGAGTTCAGATCATTTTTGATATTCTTTTTCTCCCTAACAAATTTTGAAGGGTATCTTTCTGGCTGCCAGATACCCACCTTTGTTGTAGCCAACACCTTTTGTTGCAAAAAATCAGATTACCATTAGGTGGCAGCAAATTAGAATCAATATTTTTTTCAGTGCCTCTTTACTGCTATCTACTGGCTGTTCAGATGTTTGAAACTCAGACATTAGCCTTATCAGAGTGCATAGATACTGTTTGGCTCACTCAAGAATGTTATTGATTCAAGATGTGGAAATCTATGTAACATCTTAATCTCTGACAGTATCTGAGCAGTCTGATAGTCAAAAACATCAAGTTCTGGGACTTTTAAAATCTGCTTCCATGTAAACTTATATTTAATGCTCTTTGTTCCTCTAGTTCTCAATTTAACAAATCTGAAAAAAGAAGAAGAAATTTTCAGACCTGCAAAAAAGAATAACGGCTCTATTATCTCTAAGCAGTATCTTTGATTTTTCACATCATTCATTCCTCTGAAATCATTTTTTAAATTATTACCTTTTTTAATAAGCTAGATAATTTTACCATCTTTTTCTTACTCTTAAAAAAGCACAAATCTCTGCTCCTCAATATATATACCAATTATATAGTTGCTGCAGTTTCTGAAATGCGTTCACTGAATTCCCAAAAACCAAACTAACTGTGTTAATGTGAATTAGCAGAAGATAATAAATTGTGTTATACAGGAGCAATAACTGCTAGGAGCCATTACTGAATTTCAGAAACATTTACCATGCGCATGAGGTCCAAGATTAAGAACAACAACACACCATTACTAATTGTTGTAGCATGGCCAGTATCACAAGTATCTAATCTGATCATTTATCAGAAATCCTAAATCAACGGAGGAGATGCTTCTAATAATGCAAACATATTATAAACAGTGCAACCATGATTGTTGTATGGTAGCTGGAGTTGCTTTTGGTGTGAAATCTGACAAATACCCACATTACACTAAGGTTTTAGGTTCTATCTTAGTATTCTAGTTTCCACACTCCACTTCTTCTGGATTAATGTTGCTAATTGGGAAACATTCCTTGATTTATAGAACCAACTATATATTGATCCATTGGGTTTTTTAATAAAAGGATTTAGTTACATGTCCATTGTGTAATCTCACAGTATTCTATTTATTTATATTTGCTGAGAGTTGCCTTGAACTGCAAGATGGACACCAAATAAATTTGATTGATAAATGAATGAACAAACAAACAAATGAATGAATAAATAAAAAATAACATATTTGTAAAACTTCTCCTCTCATAATTTGTGCATATAATAAGCTTAATAAATAAAAATTTAGAAAAGAAGACATTTTATATAAAACCAAATAAGCAAAAAACAACAACTAACCCTTACATATGATTGTGGCTGGTAATAATAACTTATGCTCTCATCACATCATCTCCAGAACCTTACAACCTAGATAAAAAGGAATTAACACCAGACAAACAATCAAGCAGTAAACAGTAACCTAAGCAAGGAACTACCAAAATGACAAGCCCCACAACACTAGCATGTATATATAAACAAGGAGCAAACACCACATTCACTAGCCCTGATTATGTTACCTTGTCTGGTACTGAAATGTCTGCAAACAAACAACCAAGCTCAGAAAGTATTAAGGTCTCCATAGTTCAACTCTCAGCTACATACTGTATATTATCTGCTATTGGAGTTACTGTGTATCTCAAAAGTTGCTGGATTTGTCTACATCAGCTTGAGGCTCAGGTTGATAAAATAAAGTCCCCCCCCACCCCATATTGCATATAGAATATTTATGTATTCTGTATTCAGTAACAATAACCTGTTATTTCAAAAGTTCTGACAGACCTTAAGCAGAGCTTTTTTGAGATGAGTTTGGAAAGTAAAGATGTCATCGAAGCTTCAACTTTAGCCGCTGTCATATATTGTGTGACTATTAGAAATAGGTGTTATATTTGGGAAAAAAATATGTGAAATGTTAGCTGGTGATGCAACAAACTCTTGTTATTTCAGGGATTTCAACAAAAATTCTCCTTTCATAGTAAAGAGATTGTAGCTATCAGCTGTTCATGGTGCAAGCAAGCGGTAAGTCATTTTTTTTAAAGTCATCCTGCAAATTTTAGCCTATGGATAAAGTCCGTTCTGCTTCTTATTTCCCATTTCCTTCCTCTTATAGAAATACAGAAAACTTGATGGCAGAAAAAGACCTAGTCTGCCCATTGAATCTGCCTTTTGAGTTTGCTGAATTTTTAAAATTTTTTTGCCAGATAATGGACATTTGTACATTATATATCCAAGCATGTATAAACTCAGTTACTGATGATTGACCTACTACCCCTGCTGGAAGTTGGTTCCAACCTTTCATTATTCTTTCTTTGAAGTAATACTCTCTAACATTACCATTGTACTTTCTTCCTGTCAGTTTGAGGTTATGCCCCATGTTCTTGGTTTTTGCAATATTTTGCAAATAACTGCCTACTAAATCCTTATTCACATCCTTAATATATTTAAAGGTTTCAATCACATTCCCCAGTTTCCCTTCTGTCCTCTAGGCTGTACACATTCAGTTCCTCAATCACTCCTGATATTGTTTTGTCCCTCACATCTTGCATGGTTGCCCATCTCTGGACTTGCTCAATCTTAACAATACCTTTTTTTTTTTAAAGTGAGGTTTTCAGAACTGGACCCAGTATTCTGAATGAGGTCTGATTAAAATCAGGGGTGGGCTGCTGGGGTTTCACAGGAGTTCAAGAGAGCCCCTAGCTAAGATTCTGCACAGTTCAAAGAATCCCCAAATCCCACTCCTGGCTGGCCCCGCCCTGCCCACCTCACTCCTTCCAGGAGTCCCCACATGGCTAGTTTTAGATGTGGGTAAGTGCAGAGGCTTGGGGAGGGTGATAAATGGGCCCTGGAAGTTCAGGAAGGCCAGAAATGGGCCCGTTCCTGGCTTCTAGGGAGCCTCCGGAGCCCAGGGAGGCTGTTCATCCTGGTTGCTCTTCTTTTTAAAGATACCCATTCTTTGGGCGTAAAATGCTACGAGGCAAGAGAAAAGGAAGATTGGAATATGTTCTTTTTCCTAATGCTGATGTCTTTGGTTCCTCCCTTTCTCACCTTTGCCCTTCTCCATACTCTTCATTTCACAGAGGCCTCTGCTTTTCTTCCCTCTAGTTTCACAATAAAGTCACCTGTTTCCTGCTACAACACATTGAGGAGCCTTGTTCCCTAGGAGCTCATGCTGCTGTTATTGTCCCCCCCACCTGGATCATTAAGGTGAAGAAGCCTCAGGTAACAGCATGCTTCTGCCTGTTCTGACAGTGTGGATTGGTTCACTTGGCTGAAGGCTGCTGATATTCCTGTGGGGAAAAACATGCTCTCCTGCCTTTGGCTACCATCAACTATTACCCCTAATTGCTGTAAGACATGAGCTTCCCTTTCCAGACAGTTTTTCTAAAACTTTTCTTTAATTTTATTTTAAACCGGGAGAGTAAAATGTTCGATCTTGGGGATTGTGGCTCAAAAGCAACCATTTCTTCCTTCCAGGGAGTAGCTTAAATATACATGTGGAATGTTAACAGGAATGTTAAATGATCACCTTAAGAATCTGGATAAATTCTTTCTGGTTGAGATCTCAAATGGAAAACTGATTTCCAGGTTCAGCCTTCGAGCAGCGGGTGTAGCCAGAAGCAGAATCAGGTATGATCAGACCCCACAGGAAACATGGTTGAAGTCAAATGAACAGGCTTTTTGAACTGTACAGTTTGGAAAGTGGCCATGGTTCATGTACAGCTAGTCCAGGTTTTCCAGATGATCCTTGGGTTTCTACCTTGAGGTAGTTTGCTCAAATCCAGTTTATTCCTCTATAAGTATCTTGATTCAGTCTGTGGTCTTCTGGATTGAACATGATTTTTCTCCAAGCTGGAGAATGTGGTGAAAGGACTTCTCATAAAATGTTGGTTCAGAAGTCATATTCTCATCTACTACCTTGGAACTTGGGATATTTTTTTTTAACCAGGGTTTCCAATTAATATGCTTTTGCAACCTATAGAGCAGTTATTATTATTATTTTGCTAGTAGGATTGTCATTTTTGAGTTTGAGCAGGTATTTTAAACTAAATTATTTTAGGGAAAAAATATAGTGCAGCAGAACAACAACCGTTTATAACTTTTGACAGATTATATTATTCAATGGACCTTTGGGCTAACATATCTACTTCTGTTTTAAAGGTCTATAAGTAGATAATGAAAACAATATTCAAAGTTGATTTTAGGGGATGTTTTTGCTTTCTTTCAAAAAAGGGCTTTGCTCCATAGAGATATATGGAAATCACAATGTCTTCCCTTGGAATTGCTGTACTGTGATAAATTCTTTCCTTTTTCACAGCAAATGATACTTTGGTGATTTGAAATACTTTTGAGTTCTCTCCATTATGAAGAGATGGAATATATGGAGTGGAGAAGAGTATTCATGTGTTCAGGGAAATTATGAAAGGGAGTGCTGTGTGGATTCCAGACTTTCTATTAAATGCATGGATGAATGTGGGAAATTGAGCCTGGAGGTATAGTTGGGTAACTCCTTCAGAAGAAAGAAGCAAATAATCACTTTACTGGAACATATAATGTTTGGATCTTGGATCTGCAAGAGAATCCAAAGTAAAAGGAACAATAATAACAACAAACAAATATAGAGTAACCCAAGAAAGAATAATAATTTATTTGTGCTTGAATTGGAATTATTGTGATGGATTATTTGAAATGTTCCTTAATGAGGAGTAATATGACCATTGAAAGTTTTACTAGAAGGGGAATTTGGCTTCAAGCCCTGTTATTAAGAGCCCAATGCTGAAATGAATGAATGAATTAGGAATGAATTCTTTATTGGCCAAATGTGATTAGACATACAAGGAATTTGTCTTGGTGCATAGGCTCTCAGTGTACATAAAAAGAAAAGATACATTCATCAAGAATCATAAGGTACAACACTTAATGATAGTCATAGGGTACAAATAAGCAATCAAATCATACTAGGAAACAGTCAATATACATTGTAAGGATATAACAAGTGACAAAGTTACAGTCATACAATCACAAGTGGGAGGGGATGGGTCATAGGAATGATAAGAGGATTAATAATAATAGTAATGCAGAGTTAATAAATAGTTGGACATTGTTGAGGGAATTATTTGTTTAGCAGAGTAATAGCGTTTGAGAAAAAACTGTTCTTGTGTCTAGTTGTTCTGGAGTGCAGTGCTCTATAGCATCATTTTGAGGGTAGGAGTTGAAACAGTTTATGTCCAGGATGTAAGGGGTCTGTAAATATTTTCACAGCCCTTTTTTTGACGCATGCAATGTACAGGTCCGCAACGGAAGCAGACTGGTATAATTGTTTTTTCTGTAGTCATAATTATCCTGTGAAGTCGGTGCAGAACCCAACCAGACAGTTGTAGAGGTGCAGATGACAGACTCAAAAGTGCTTTTGGTTGCTCAGAAATTCTCTTCCCTTGTAAAAGAAGCATTGATTTTTTTAAAAAAAAACACCTTATTTTAAGGACACATGAACATGTCTCATGTGGTTGAGCTTATTTTATACCTGGAGATGGCAGAAGGTGCTAAAGCTGTGGTTATTTTTGTAACACATCTCTCCATGATTTTGAAGTCTGCCTGGCTGCCCACACCACTGAAAGCCTCACGGGAAGTCTTTTTGCATGCTGCCTTCCTTTGTGTTTTAATAGAAACATGGGAAGCCAAAGAGGCTGTGTCATCTTGGGGAGCTGATTCTAAAAAGAAGGACTAGCACTTGGTCATCTTCTAATTGAAGAAGACAATGTACTCAACCCATGAGAGCATCACTGAAACAATCTTCTCCTTTAAAAGATATTGCCAATACCTTTTTATCAATTTAGATAAGGTGGAAACAAATTCAGGAATAGTTTTTTTCCCCTGTATGAAACTGTTATAAACAATTTAAATGATCTGCACAGAAATGCGGGCTAATAGACCGAAGTGGTTGTGAATGCCAGAGGCATTCATTTTATGATTAAAAGTGGAAACATGACTCTTTGTAGATAACACGGCTGTATTTATCATTAGATGTAAAAGAATAACTTTAACAATATTCCCCTGCCTCATAGCTTTCATAGAATTATAATGTTGAAGGTGGATGTTTAGGTCATTGTCAATTCCTATATACAGTGCAGAAATATAATTAAACCATTCCCAAGAGATGCTTATTAAGCAGCTGCTTGAACAAATCCAGTGAAGCGAATCCTGTACTTCTCTGGATAATTAAATCCACTGTCAAATTACTTGTACTTTCTGGAAGTTTCTTCTAACATTCCCTTGGAATCTGCCTTCCTGTAAATTAAATCCATTATTCTATGTCATGCACTCTGAAGAAAGGCCTTGACCTTGCTTTCAAAAATTTGATGTGGGACATCATATCCCCTATCAGTGATTGTTTTTTAGGGCTAAAGATACCCAGTTCCTTCAATCTTTCCTCATAAGCCTGAAATTTTCATTTTCTTTGACTCCTTAAAGTATTTAGAATATTTGCAAAAACAAACTCTTGAGCTATCCATCTATTGGGATAGTTTGCATTGTTCCTTTGTGGTATACACAGAAGTGCTTTTCTTTAATTTTCATTATACTTTCAAGGAATTTCAACATGGAGAAAATGGCTTTGTGATTTTGCAACATTATCCAAGGGGAACACACAACTTGCATTCTGGAATGTACAGGGATTTAGCATTGAGTGGTACAGAATGAAATGCCAATAATTTATGGGGACAGAGAGGAGAAAGGATTTGCTCAGATACACACCAAACAAATCCTACATAATTAAAACAAAGACTAAAGTCTTCATTATCTTTATTTTTTAGTTATTATTTTAAAAACTAGGGACAAATACAGTTAAATGCTCAGAGTAATCCAGCCAGCTCAACATTGGGAGAATATCTCTAGAAAGATTTAAGTGGCCAACAATGAGGTTTTCTTTGAAGTTGCTTATACTTAATATATAGGATATCTTATAAGTCATTACTTTGTTAGGTAATTCTTGCATAGGAACATATCTCTGGCAGCCATTGCCGACATTATAAATCAACAAATATGGATTATTTGACAGAGATTTTGAACAGGAACTTGGTGTTTCTTAAGCCAACCTACTTGATGCATATTTTTTGCAAAATACAAGTACAGAATCCATTGCTATGCTCTTTTACTGTACAGGTGACTTGTTTAACAACCACTTGGTCAGTGACCATTCAGACTTGCAACAACTGAATGAATGATAGTTATGAACATTTCTTAAAGTTCTGATCAATGCAGTCCTCCCACGGACACATCCTTGCAAACTGGGTGGTCAGCTTCACACAAAGTAGTGTCAATGAGGAAGCCAGCAGGGAATCATGATCGTTTGATGTTCTTGCCCAATGACTCATGTGGTTCTTGGCTAATAATGGTCATTGGCAGTGGTGGGATTCAACTAATTTAACAACCAGTTTGCCCAGGGTCAGGTTGGCTGTCGTGGGAGGCATGGCCCATTCCCATCCTCCAGCTCTGCTGCACATGCAGGAAGAGCCTCCTATGATGGCCAACTTGACCCTGGGCAAACTAGTTATTAAATTACACCCCCCCCCCACGATCAAAATGGATGATGGGTGCTGTGCTGCAATGGAGAAACAGGCAATGGAGTGGCTGGCATGAGAAAAGGAGGAGGAGCAGGGAGAAGAAAGAAGGAAAGTGGCTTTCTCCATCCTCATGTTGGCTGCTCCATTGCCCGTTTCTCCATTGCAGCACAGTACCCATGATCCATTTTAATAGTGTTGGGCGAGTAATTTAATAACCGGTTCAGTTGAACCGGTGAAAACCAGCTAAATCCCACCACTGGTCTTTGGGGCTGTCAGAATTGCTACCGCTAAATGGCACATGATGTCATACTTTATGACTGCATTACTTGGAAACAGAAAGTCTGATTCCAATTATTGTTGTTAATTGAGGATTATCTGTACATTTAAAATCAATAGTCTGTGAATCAACTCTAAAAATGTTTAGCATTGTCTCTAAAAAGTAACCTGTGATATCACACATCAACTAATATGAGACAGGAGGATATATCTAACCTACTAATAATTAATTACCCTACCGGTTAATGCCATTGGTTTAAGTAGGAGAAAAGACCCCCCCCTCCCCGGAGCATAGCTGGCTTTATCTTGTTCTCCTTAACCTTTTTATATAGGTGGTCTCCACACCAGGAGACGAACTTGATTGGGCGGGAGACTGGAGCCCCGGAAGGAAAACGGGCGTCTCCTACCTGAAATGGGAGGGTTGGCAGGTACAGCATGTGCTCTTATGTGAGTCTATGGGAGCATCTAGTTTTCTTCTCCCTCACAGCATTGGAAGTCTCCGGTTCTGAAAGTACCAGTCTGGTCTTAGTGTGTGGCTTTCTCCATAACAGTGATGTGAAAATGTAAAGCATGAGACGCATGTTCTTTCAACTCATGCATGCGTGCCCAGATGGTGTATCATTCTCCACAGGTACTGTCACAAAGGTGTTTCTTATAGGGAGATCTTCTGTTTGGCATAATTGTTTTTAAATTCTCCCCCTTCTCTTCTTAAAAAATCAAAACAAAACAGAATTCACTGAAAAATTCAACCAGGCGGAAGAAAAGAACCTCTTTTAAAAGGAAAGTCAGTAAAAGAGGAAATGAGGTAAGTTTTTCAAACAATTTATTATGATTATTAATTAGGGGAAAAATAATCATAACAAAACAGCTGATCCAATCTGATCCCTTTCAGTTCTATTAGACACATCCCATTCTATTCTAGAGGCATGTTATATGAGGCATGTTATACTTATGCTAAATATAATGTGTTTGGTGATTAATGATTGATTAATGATTATTAATTAGTGGAATTAATGACTAATCAATGATTATTAATTGGAGAAATATACTCATAAAACAACAGGTGATCCAATCTGATCCCTTTCAGTTATATTAGCTGACATATCCCATTATATTCTAGAAGATTCTAGATTTATGCTAAATATAACATGTATTTAACATTATATTTATTTTCTCCTCTCTTCCCCAAGTCCCATCCCAAACCCAATTCATATTTCCTGCTTGATTGAAAATGCATATCCCCAAACTGTTATCTGTGGAGACTCCTGTCTCTACCATTCAGGACATTTGAATAGACTTTTATAAAGATGTAGGATGGGGTTAACTATTTTTCATCAAATTGTAGTGAGGAATCACATTCTGAATCTTTATGATACCTTACTTTTTTTTTTTTTTAATAAGAAGCAATTCGATTATTTTATGCCTGGTAGTTTTATACCACTAGCTAAAGTGCCTGCTGCAACTTTCTGCTGATGCTTTCCTTTTCTTTCTCTAGGAGAACAAAGGGCGACCATTTATGATTAAACCTATCTCTTCCCCTCTCATGAAACCCTTGCTTGTATTTGTGAATCCAAAAAGTGGAGGGAATCAGGTAAATATGGGGCATCAAGCACAGAATGTGCTTTTACCAAGAAAGGGGTTCAGAATACATGCCAGAAAAAAAATATCTCAAACTTGATGAAAGAGTTAAAGGTTGGAAGTAAGTTCTAAAATAAGATAGAAGAGAATATTGCAGCTCAGAGTTGAACTGGGAGTCCTTGGTGGTCTCTGAACTTGGTGGTTTTCTTGCAGATGTTGCACTACCAAACTAGGTAATATCACTAGCGCATCTGAAATAAGAGTTCTCTTAATGGGAAACTAATGAAATTCTGTATCATGCATTTTAAGACTGAGATACAAGTTAATTGATCGTTTTCTTTTTTTTTTTTGTCCTTTACAGGGTACTAAAGTGCTTCAAATGTTTATGTGGTACTTGAATCCACGTCAGGTTTTTGACCTATCTCAGGAAGGACCAAGAGATGCGTAAGTTTTGGGGTGTTTAGTTTGACCCGCCCTTCATTATTTTCATGTGAGACAACTCAAAACACATTGGAGGGAAATATTACTATCTCTAATAATTAAAAACATAAACTGGCTTCTAGCCATGATGGCTGGAAGTAATGGGAATTCCAGCTCCAACAAATGCAGAGAGAATTAACTTGAGAGGGATGAATTGACAGAAACTATCCCTTGAACTGTTCAGTTGTGACAATTACATTTATACTTCCTTATGCTTATTATTATCCTCTTCAGTGGGCACCAGGCAATTTTGAACAGCTAAGAGCCATACTTCAAAAAAAAAAAAAAAATGGGGAGATGATGGTGGTGAACGACTGCATTGGATACAAAAATTACATGAGAATGTCAAGTAAATGACTGAAACCAGAATTTCCAGTAATGATGAAAATAGTTTAATTTTTTAAGGGGAAAATTTAAGGTGTGTTAATGAATGCACTGATTTTACAAATGGCAGTAAAAATGACTATTGTGTACCCACAGAAGACAACAAGCAATGGAACATGCATTTATGCATTATGAAAAACCCTTTTAAAAATAACTGAAGGCAGCAAACATACCCACACACCTTCCTCCTCCTATATAAAGTGAGTTGGAATGAGAAAAAGTGACTGGCCCAAAGTCACCCAACTGCCTTTCTTGGCTAAGGCAGGGCTTGAACTCTACAGTCTTCTAATTTCTAGTTTGGTACATTAACCACTAAACCAAACTGGCTCACATATTAATGTGTGACTGGATATGAAGCTACAGTAGTCTTAGGGAGTAGAAGGGAATTTTAATTTCTTCATCTTGGCCAGAATCTTGATTTACTGCCATTTTAGTTTTAGTTTGCAGTTCAAAGAAAGTCTCCAATAGCATTGTAATGAAATGCTAAATAAATAGCATGCAAGACTCCTTTTTCTGCTATGTATTCAAAATGGTCTGTGATTAATATATGCATATATATGTGTATATACTGTATAAGTATATACTGTGTGCACACACACACATGTATGTATGTATGCATGTATGTATGTATGTATGTATGTATGTATATTTCTTTTGAGAGCGGGCATCAAAATTTCATTTTTAATGTGTACCAGTGTGTACATAGAAAAAGTGACAATAAAGGTTATCTTATGTTATCTATAGTTGTGGTAGTTTTGATTAGAGTTTTACTCTATTTTCCGAGAGTTACAATTAGCGTTACAATCCCAAATCTGGACAGGATTCAACTCCTGGGGGAGACTGAGATTTGAAGACCACACATCTTAAAGTTGCTGAAATTGGGAGATGCTTAGGTCAGGGATGTGAAACTTGCATCATCACAGCATCGTCACATGATATATCACAACTTTTTCTCCCTTCACTAAACCCAGCAGGGGCTGCCATTTTAGTTTTAGTTTGCAGTTCAAAGAAAGTCTCCAATAGCATTGTAATGAAATGCTAAATAAATAGCATGCAAGACTCCTTTTTCTGCTATGTATTCAAAATGGTCTGTGATTAATATATGCATATATATGTGTATATACTGTATAAGTATATACTGTGTGCACACACACACATGTATGTATGTATGCATGCATGTATGTATGTATGTATGTATGTATGTATGTATGTATATTTCTTTTGAGAGCAGGCATCAAAATTTCATTTTTAATGTGTACCAGTGTGTACATAGAAAAAGTGACAATAAAGGTTATCTTATGTTATTTATAGTTGTGGTAGTTTTGATTAGAGTTTTACTCTATTTTCCGAGAGTTATAATTAGCGTTACAATCCCAAATCTGGACAGGATTCAACTCCTGGGGGAGACTGAGATTTGAAGACCACACATCTTAAAGTTGCTGAAATTGGGAGATGCTTAGGTCAGGGATGTGAAACTTGCATCATCACAGCATCGTCACATGATATATCACAACTTTTTCTCCCTTCGCTAAACCCAGCAGGGGCGTGGCCAGTGTGTGACAGCCTTGGCTTAGGTGATCCTAAAATACTAAGGAAAGTAAGATCTTGTTAATGTTTGGATGGGATATTATTAGAAAATCCTAGACTGGGAAGTTACAAATAACCTAAACGAGGGCCATAGTTGGCAATGTCTCTGTTGTTACCAAGAAAATTACAGAGATGTTTTAGTGTCCCACAATACTGTTTGAAGGTTTTTAAAACCTTATTTTAAATATCTACTCTATACATTCCTATATAACATGTTTTTAATGCCACAAGATGGCACTCTTGGATATTGTCTAACTCTCATCTGATGTGCCTGTATTCCTGGTATTTTCAAAAGCAGAACAGTCTTATTTTGTTTTTTTAAAATGTTTTTTGCTATGTCTATATGTGAAAAAAGGCTTGACATAACCAAGGACATTGCTAGCAGATACCGAGCCAAGTTTCAGAAAACAAGAGAACAACAGAGACTCTCGTTGGGGTTTTTTTGTTTAAGCATCAGAGTACAATTTGTTATTTCTGAGGTAACATTCCGTCAATCAATTTGCATAATTGCTTTAAACCAAGCGACGGTTTTGTGACATAGTGCAAAATATGTGATTTAGGCTGCTAACTGGTAAAAGCCTCAAAACTAATTAAATCCAATATAGAAAAAAAATCTGGATCAGCAACTGCTTTCCAGGCTCACTTGCAATTGGTGTCTTTAACTTTTCAAATAATATTTTAAAGTTTGGCTAATTACTGGTATACTTGTTTCTGAAAAGGCCTTTTTAAAAATGATTTGAATCCAGAGTACTATTCTGAGAAACGTGATCCAAAGATGTTTTATTTTAATCAAAAGCCAACTGGACTTGGTTGGGTTTTTTTTTTTTCACTTTGAAAATGTTTTGCTTCTCATTCAAGAAGCTTCTTGGGTTCTAACTAACTGGTAGGGAATGAAAATATTTATATAAATCACATAAATAAATATCATGTAAATCCTTCCATTTCCCACTGGTTAGTTAGAACTGAAAAAGCTTCTTGGTTTAGAAGCGAAACATTTTCACAAGAAAATAGAACAAAAAAGTCTTGTTGACTTTTGAGAAAAAAAGCACCTTTGGGACAATCATGACCTGGATGATTGAGATCCCTCAGGGACAAATAGAATAGAATAGAATAACAAGGGAGCTTGAAGTTCTTCTAGTCCAACCCCCTTCTTAGGCAGGAAACTCTATAGCATTTCAGACAAATGGTTAGCCAATCTCTTCTTAAAAACTTCCATTACTGGAGCATTTACAACTTCTGGAAGCAAGTTATTTCACTGATTAATTGTTCTGTCAGAAAATTTCTCCTTAGTTCTAAGTTGCTTCTCTCCTTCATTAGTTTCACCCATTGCTTCTTGTCTTGCCCTCAGGTGCTTTGGGGAATAGCTTGACTCCCTCTTCTTTGTGGCAGCCCCTGAGATATTGGAACACTCCTATCATGTCACCCCTAGTCTCCCCTAATCCTTCTTTTCATTAGATTAGACATACCCAGTTCCTGCAACCGTTCTTCATATGCTGTAGCCTCCAATCCTCTAATCATCTTTGTTGCTCTTCTCTGCACTCTGCAGAGAACTCTGCACAGTCTCAACATCTTTTTTACATCATGGCAACCAAAACTGGATGCAGTATTCCAAGTGTGGCCTGACCAAGGCATTATAAAGTGGTATTAACACTTCATGTGATCTTGATTCTATCCCTCTGTTTATGAGCCTAGAACTGTGTTGGCTTTTTTGGCAGCTATAGCACACTGCTGGCTCATATCTAAGTGACTTTCCACTAGGACACTGAGATCCCTCTCACAGTTGCTACTATTGAGGAAGATACCACATATACTGTACATGACCCAATAACTTCTGTAAAATATGTACTACCTTCCTCACCATATCTGATTTTAGTAAAGGGATTGGCTTTAGAGCAGAGACTGACCTTGCCAGAGTGAAGCGGTGGGTATGGCAAAACCAATTTCTTGTTTCTTGAGTGATTCAACTTTTCTTTGTGCTCTTGATAATAAATATTTGATTAGGGAGCCTTGATCACATAGAGGCATTTTTAAAATCTGTCTTCATGATTTTAAAAAAGACAACATTTGTCCTGTTTTCTTTCACTAGGCTTGAATTGTACAGAAAAATGCCAAATCTGCGAATCCTGGCTTGTGGTGGCGATGGAACAGTAAGACCGATTCCTTTTCATTAGCTTTCCCAACAGTAGGAGGCACTACCAATGATTGTTGGTGAAATTATTAAAATAAAATAGGCTTTAACTGTTTTTAATTGATTTGAATAGTTGAATTTTCTGATTGTTATCTTGAATTTTAACTATGTACATCACTTGCAGTCACATGCAAGAGACATGACCATCTATATAAATTCAATCAATCAATCAAATCTTGCAGATTATAGTTATCACTTTTTCTTTATCCTTCTATCTCTCCATCTCCCTCCTTCTCTTCTTCCCTCCCCCTGTCTCTCTCCTTGAGAAATAACATAATATTGAAGAATGTAATACTTCTATCCTAACTAGTCAATATCATCTATTAAAAGCTTTAAACATATTTTAATGAGAGTTAGTCACTCACTCCATTCACACATGCTTGTCCAATATTTGTCTTGCAGAACAGAGTATTGATTTGGGTTTTTTTGTGTATGAATGAAACAATTTAAAATTTTTTAATTTTTTTTATCTCTGCCTTGTTCTATTCACACAAGCCAATTACGTTGCAGTAATTAGTTGTTCATCATGATAATATGAGAACACTGAAGTGAAAATCAAAGAATCCTACACATGCTTACTGTCTGGTTTTATTCTTCCTTTTTTTCATAGATGGCTTTCCAAATATATATTTATGGAGGACTGGGCTCATCAGTTTAATGGGTTTGGAGCTCATCTATGCCATGGGACTGGATTTATTGCTTTCGATATCTTTTCCCTTGCATTTCACATTTTGAGCGAATGGGGGCAGTGCCGTCTCATCAGTATGAGCAGTGCCTGATTTATCTTTCTTGAGATTATATTTGAAGGAAATTAATGTGGTGTTGTTCCAAAAGCTATTACATTTAGAAATGAAAATCTTGTTCAAATGGATCTAGTGAATATTCAGTGAGACTACTTATTACTTTGCATTATTGAAAGGAAACAGAAAGGAGAAGATTTTTCTCGTGTCCCTGTTCAGAATTAACCTTTTTTCTGATGATAAATGAAATATTGTCAGTTCAAATTCTTCCAAGCCTCAGATTTTTCCATCAAGCTTCAGAACTAATCAGATGGTATCCTATCCCAAATCCAAAATATCGTCCTAAGGAATTAAGTCTCTGTGAATTATTTTATTATGACTTCTAGCATAAATAACAATGTCATTTCCTAAAATGTTAAAAGCAAAACTTAGCCATATTTAGAACTCCCAAAGTTTTATATATTCAAAACCAGATTTTTGTTTTTATATATCCAAAAACCTGATTCCAAGACAGAACAATTCATTTTTATTAGTGTTGTCCCACATGATTTTCAATGTAGGGCATCTCATGGATTGTTCTTATAGCAATTCTCTTAAATATTTTTCCTTAACTAATATGAATTGGCGGTTGGGAGGGGAATGGGGAAAATATAGATACTCTGTTATTGACATATGGATTGACATCTAGAGCTCTGGTGGCATAGTAGTTAAACTTCAGGCAAACGCTCCACAGAGTGCCACAAAGCACTACAGGATGGTACATAAGCATAAATACTATTGCAATTGCTATCTATAGTATATGTTTTTCTCTTGGACAGGATAAAAACAGAATGCCGTACATTGTTCAGTTATACCATCTATCATATCATTCACAGAGAAAACAAGCTATGGCTGGTGTAATATAGTTCATTCTTTGTCCACCAATCATTCAGATTTTTGCAGTGCAGATATAGTAGCCCCACCCTGTATCTGTTATTCCTTCATCTGTCTATTTCTATGAGTGTTCATGTTCAGAGTCTTCCTCATCAATCTCTTCCATGAACCACACATTGGCAGGAATGAACAGCACTGCCTAGAATTGCAACCATAAACTCTGGTTAGACTCATCTTTCTGTATGGTCTAGAAATTTACTTCCAACTCTGTAACTGTTGATGCTTAGGTTGGCTGGATCCTCTCCATTCTGGATGAGTTACAGCTGAATCCCCAGCCTCCTGTAGCTGTACTTCCACTTGGCACTGGGAATGATCTTGCTCGCACTCTCAACTGGGGAGGGGTAAGTCTGAATACAAGTCTGACTGGTTGTCATTTCACTCTTTGTTGAAAGTGAAGGAGGAGCCTAAACTGTGGAAGGAAATGTATTAAAAATATTCTTCCAATTGGTGCATTATTTTTCATGCATAGAATAGAAAGTTCCTATTTCAACTTTCACTTTTATTACTTTCTTTTTTCCCATTAAATGAAATAAACACAACCATGGCAGGGCTAGTTGGTCCTATACTTGTTATTGTTATTCATTCCCAGTATAATCTAATATTTGTACAACTTTATAATATTTTATGGATTTCTTGTGTCCTGTCTTGTCCATGTTCCAATGATGGGAATTATGAAGATTTAATTAGCTGCTTTTGACTAAATATTGATGAGTATCCCATAGACTAATCAATTAATCATTTATTAAGACAAAATATTATTTACATATGCCTACTTGTCTGTCCTACTTCAGGGATATACTGATGAACCTGTTGCGAAAATTCTCTGTCATGTAGAAGATGGGGCAATTGTTCAATTAGATCGTTGGAATCTTCAAGTGGAGAGAAACCCTGATTTTTCCCCAGATGAAGTTGAAGATGGAACACATAAGGTTGGAGTGAAAACTTTCTCCATAAAGTAGTCTAGAATTGGGAGATCAGAGATCATGCAGAGTGGCTGTGGAATATTTCTAGACATGGAATCCTACTATTTGTTCATTTTGGGCCAGCCTCTCTTTATTTGCTCTACTATGTTGGCTATTTATTGTTTTCAGACCTGTCAACAATTAGCCAGTAAGCATGAAATAAAACCCGCCCACTAGTGAAAATTTTAGGAGTCCTATATATGCAAATCCCTTATGCATCTACTACCAATTCCAATTTATAGTCTACTAATATGACTAGATAATATTGTTCCAAAATTACACACACTCATACCTGAAATAACAAAGTCAACTTTGCTTAGTGAGTCCTAGTGTTTACAATTCTGTTTTATTTTTCTATATTGCCATTCTACAAAGTTTCTTTCTTTCTTTCTTTCTTTCTTTCTTTTTACTTCTGATCTCATCACTGCAGCTCCCCCTCAACGTTTTCAATAATTACTTCAGCCTCGGATTTGATGCCCATGTCACGCTGGAATTCCATGAATCTCGAGGTGAGGGAACTAAAGCTATCTCTCTCAGAGTGTGCATCTAGAAAAAAGGATTAGATACACTTAACATGCGCCCTAAATGTGGCTGGTGTGTCCTTAATGCCTATGGAATAGATATCATTTTGTCAGCTGTGAAGCTACAGTATACAATGGGACAAAAGGGGGATGAAAATTGTTCCTATTCTTAAGAAAATAATAGAAGAGTTAAGGAAAAGGTGAGAAATCTTTTTTTCTCTTTGGTGAGAATAGGTATTGTGTTTATGGTTAGTTTCTGTAAACAGTATCAGCAAAGGATTATCATGTTCCTGTACTCTGAATGAATTAAAGATACTATAGATATTTATTCAAATGATGAGGAAAATGTTAGCTGATACATTTTTATCTATTGTGAAGGTTTCAACAAACAACACATCCCAAATCTTGGTCAGGTTAACAACTAGCAACTAGAGATGATTTATTTCCAGTTCAGAAAACATATTAACATTTAGAATAATCTTGTCTAGCTAATTTTGGCTGATTTAGAAAGCAAAACTTGTCTTACAGAGAACAGCAGGGAATCTTAAATTAGTATGAGATATTTCATGCCAAATATATTTTTATGTAGGTCACCAGAATCAGACTTGGGATAATATTTGCTGTCTACCTTTGCAGTCTGATTTCACTGAAAAATTCTATATCTTGCAGTGAAAGGATGTATTGTATGCACTAATGTACACAAGGAGCATATGTGGATATCTCAAGTAAAAATGTATCATACAAATGCAATAGTAATAGCACTTAGACTTATATACCATTCCATAATGTTTCACAACATTCTTTGAGCAGGTTACAGAATCAGCATGCTGTCCCAACAATCTGGCTCCTCATTTTACTGACCTCAGAAAGATGGAAGGCTGAGTCAGGATCGAACTCCAGACTATGGGCAGAGTTTGCTTGCAATACTGCATTCTAATAATCTGCATTCTAACAATCTGCCTTTCTTCGTGTAAAAGAAGTCTTACAGTAGTGTGGTATCCTTCTACTGAGAAAAATCTGAACATGATTACTTTGGAATAGATGATAGATGGAATAGATTTGAGGACTTGGAGATAGGTCACACCTAAGAAAATGATCAGATAAAAGAAACCTGAGTTGGGATCAGCATTGTAACCTGAGAAAATCTTTCAGATAAAATCTTCTCATGAAGAAGGAAGGAAGGAAGGAAGGAAGGAAGGAAGGAAGGAAGGAAGGAAGGGAGGGAGGGAGGGAGGGAGGGAGGGAGGAAGAAGTCCATTCAGTCTTTTAAGATACTGTTACTATTGCTTTACAGTAAAAATAGTACTGACCTACATGACATTGGATTGTTATTCTGACGTACTCCTAAAGGCTGACAATTACTAAGGCATGCATTCATGAATCATATGTCATCCTTGTATAGTAGGCCAGATGCCACATATTCCAAGCATTACTTTTATTAGAATGGATCTTGCAAGTGTAAATATGCAAGTGTAAAAACTGGCACAAAGAAGAGGGAGTCAAGCTATTTTCCAAAGGAGGGGTCTCCAACCTTGGCAACTTTAAGACTTGTAGATTTCAACTCCCATAATTCCCCAGCCAGCTTTGCTGGCTGAGGAATTCTGGGATTTGAAGTCCACAAGTCTTAAAGTTGCCAAGGTTGGAGACCCCTGCTCCAAAGCACCTGAGGGCAAGATAAGAAGCAATGGGTGGACACCAATCAAGGAGAGAAGCAACCTAGAACTATGGAGAAATTTCTTGACAGTTAGAACAATTAATCAGTGGAACAACTTGCCTCCAGAAGTTGTAAATGGAAGTTTTTGAGAAGAGATTGGATAACCATTTGTCTGAAATGCTATAGGGTTTCCTGCCTAAGCAGGGGGTTGGGTTAGAAGACCTCCAAAGTCCCTTCCAACTCTTTTATTCTCTTCTGTTTTGCTTCCCCATCTCCTTTTTTCAATCTTCTTGAAATTAGGAGGGTGCCTGTCTGAAATGTTTTCATAAACCCTTCATATGGTCTTAAGCCATATTTATCTGTTTGTTGACTTATCAAAGTTTCTATATATATTCTCTGTGTCAAGGGGCTTCAAACTTGACAGCTTTAAGACTTGTGGACGTCAACTCCCAGAATTCTTCCTCCAGTCATGTTAGCATAGGAATTCTGGGAGTTGAAGCCCACAAGTCTTAAACTTGTCAAGTTTGAAGTTCCTTGCTCTGTGTATTACAATTAATTCAAAATCTGTGACCTGTGGAAAAATTAGATTTTACCCCTCCAGTTTAGGAATTATGACAATTGTAATCTAGAGCATCTGAAAGGCACCAGTTTATCAGAAGTTGCATTGCATTAGCATACATGCCTGGATGGCGGGAGAATACACAGATGATACCTAAAACTGTTTAGAATCTGGATGATTTATTCCTATGAATTTGGAATATCAAACCTTATTTGTCCTTATTTTCATGCTATCATCAAGCCCAATTGAAAAAATTATCTCCCCCACCTCATTTTTCTTGACATGCCAGATTAAATAAAGGTTTGTCTGCTTGATGAAAAGAGTGAATGCATGTTTTTTTTCCCCCACATTACAAAGGCAGCAAGCAGTCCGATTCACAATGAAGGCTTGTGGAAAGGCAAAGAAATGACAGGGTTGACAGTAGCACTTTTATTCTGTATGAACATGTGTTGGAATACTTGCCAAATATGCTTGCAGCTAAATATTTTGACTGATGATTTCTGTGTTAGAAGTTTTATTTAATAATGAAACCATAATGCTTAATAAAGAATAAATGAATGTTATTCCAGAGATGTCAGTGTAATACATGCATATGCATTTCAATAAACAGAGGAGAGAGAAAAAACTATGGCAAGATAACATGCATATTTTAAAGCAAGATAGCACCTATGTTTACTCTTAATGCTATTCTCTTCTACACACACCTCTGCTTTAACATGATAGAGAAAAATTAGATTAAAAAAAGGTTTTGCTATATTCTTATTGCATATTGCATTTGGTTGATGGGGTGTCACTCAGCTTCTCCCCCAACAACCTCAGATCTCCTTCCTTCTGCCATTTCCTTCTGTCTCCTAGCTCTTACAGGAGCTTAACTGTTAGTTCTTGTTTGTTAAAATGCCACCTGTACCAAGTTGTTTTTCTACTGCTGCCAGGAGCAGAAAATTGGGTATTCCAAAGGATTGGGAGAGCTCTCCTTGTGTCACTTAACTGCCAGTGGAGGCAAACTCATAGTTAATTAGGCCATAAACTAAATATCTTCTATATAAATCAGGGGAAGTAGTGCTTTGGTTTACATGAACATCAGGATTTTTCTCTCCAAAATGCTTTGCTCCAAAGAGTAGGTGAGACATATGAAGCAAATCAGCAATTCTCAGGAAGAAAGAACTGTTATATCAGCATATATTAAGGAGCTTTCCAGAAGAACAGCCAAGTATCCAATGGTTCGGGAAAGTCAGGCACAGAACATAGCCTAATACAAGGGCCTTTAAAATTGGCAAGCTTAAGACTTGTGGACTTCAACTCCCAGAATTCCTGAGCTAACATGACTAGAGGAGGAATTCTGGGAGTTGAAGTCCACAAGTCTTAAAGCTGTCAAGTTTGAAGACCCCTGGTCTAATACATAGACTTTGACTTCTAGATACAGGTAGCCCTTGACTTATGGCCACATAACTTGCTAAGTGAGGCAGTTAAGTGTGTTTTGCTCCATTTTATTATCTTTCTTGCCAGTTGTTAACAGGGTTGTTAAATGAACCTGGCTTCCCCATTGACTTTGCTTGTTAGAAGGTCACAAAAGGTATTCATATGATCCCATGACACTGTAACCGTCATAAATATGAACCAGTAGCCAAGCATCTGAATTTTGATAAAGTGACTATATGGATGCTGCAATCCATATGACAAATGTTGATACGTCACTTTTTTCCAGTGCTTTTGTAGCTTTGAATGGTCACTAAATGTACCGTTGTAAGTCAAGGATGATCTGTAGTACTGTAGGTGACATTATATGTAGCTTCATTCTTGCCTGCAATAAAGAGACTTATCTTGCCAAGCTGTGTCTGAATGCTTCGTGTGGGGTTTCAATTTAAATCCCAAAGGCGCTTTTTCAAGAGACAACTGGATTTTCTTGTTTTTGTTTGATGACGTTTTGCTTCTCATCCAAGAAGCTTCTTCAGCTCTGGCTGGATGCTAGAGAGCTGAAGAAGCTTCTTGGATGAGAAGCAAACATCTTCAAAGAAAAACCAGAAAGTCTAGTTGCCTCTTGAAAAAGCACCTTTGGGGCAATCATGACCTGGGTGATTGAAAATCTCCATAGACATTTAAATTTAAGTGTCTGAAACACAGAGATTTATGGCTATGCCTGATGTGTGACAGGAAATAAAAACAGGATAGTTAATAGATAAAATTGATTTGATTTATATTTAGCTAAAATTAAGCAAAATTAATGTGATTGCTTTTTAATACTTTATGTAATAATGTTCTCTTTCTGCCATATTAAAAATTGTACCTTGGCATCAACTATTAGAAGTTTTTGGGTGCTGCAGCTATCTCTCCTATAAACTATACAAATCAAGAATTTTGCAGTCTTAGGAAATTGGTAATTCAGTAATAAGCTAATGTTCGACATACTATTATTCTTTCTCTCATTTCTTAAGTAAATATTCAATCTTCCTTGCATTATGGAGAGGCACTTCATTACTTAATTTAGATAACATTTCTTCACTGCCAGTTCATATCACCATTTGATTCATTGTTATTTCTTAAAAAAGCTAAGTGTGTAAAGCCAATGCAGTGTTTAATGGACTTTGTAAAAGTTTTTAATTTTTGCTTTCTTTTTCTTCCTTCTTACAGAGGCAAATCCTGAAAAATTCAACAGTCGGTTTCGTAATAAAATGTTTTATGCCGGGGTAGGTTGATGTAGTCTCCTCTTTCCTCTTCTTTCTTTTTTGTTTTTATTTTGAGCAATTAGCAATAAATAAATAAGCCAGTATCTTTCTAAGAGCATGGTCCTAGGCATGTCTAATGAGAAAAAATATCTATTGAGTTCAATAGGTCTTAAAGCTACTTATATCTGTATATAGAATTATTGCATCAAAGGTTTCAAAAGGAACAAGGGTTTTGTATAGATTCTAAGAGAAAAGCAACATTGGCTATTGTTCCAGTGGACTTGTACTTTAGATGAAGAATTAGAAAGACACTTTAGATAAATTTTCACCTATCAGTATGCTTCTGCCTAAATATTATTTATTAGATTAAAAAAAAACCTTTATTATTTTATAATTAATCCAAGGAGGTAAATATATACAATACACCTTCCTTCTCCTCTTTTCCCCAAAGCAACAGCTCTGTGAAGTTAGAGAGTGACTGGCCCAGCTCACCCAGCCAACTTTCATGCCTAAGACAGGACTAAAACACATAGACTCCTGATTTCTAGCTTTATGCCTTAATCCAGGGGTGTCAAATTCAAGGCCTGCGTGTCAGATCTGGCCCATGGGGTGCTTAGATCTGGCCCAAGGGCCCACCCTGGAAACAGCAAAGGATTGGCCAGCGGTGCCTCTGCGAGTGAAAACGGAGGGTGTGCGGCCCTCTTGGGCTTGATTTTCAGCCGTGATGGCCTCCTGCAACCCTCTGCCAGTGAAAATGGAGGCTGCACACGGTCTACCCAGGCTTTGTTTTTTCTGGCAAAATGTTCCAGGAGGTTGTTGTGGCTGAAAATGGAGTCTTGATGAATGACATTGAGCTGGCCGCGTCCACCCTACCCATACCACTCCTGCCCCCCCGAGGCAAACACAACCCGAATATGGCCCTCAATGAAATCGAGTTTGACATCCCTGCCTTAACCAGTAGACCAAACTCTCTTCATGCTGTCATACTATGCTAAGTGTATCCAGTTATGGGTACTACTTTGACCCTTGGTTGCAGGTAAATGGAACTCGGTCTCTATGCAGCCAGCAGCCTCCAGAAAAACTAAAGGAAATACCCATGCTAAAAATAAGTGAATGCACCCAGAAGCCTTTAATTCTTCTGTTCATGTATTGAACTGATACAGGATCAAGAGGAGAGGAGAGTGTGAATTATCAGAGAAGAACACTGATTATCCTTCTGGTGTATTTTGGTCTTATTTTCCATTCTGTTGTCTTAATGTTTTCCAATTTAAGGGATTTTTTTAAAGGAGACTACTATGAAGCAGACACTGCTTCCAAATATTTCTATAACTATTGACATGGGAAATAAGTCATAATCAAGAGAAGAAATCACACACTTTGTTTTGCACAGACTGCAAAATGGGGCAAGTTTATTTAAAGTTGCACTTGATGTACAAGAAATACTGTCAAAATTTTCAGGAAAAATTATATTTTGCCTTTCTTTATTGCATCTGTTCCTCTGTAATCTAGGCAGCTTTTTCAGATTTCCTCCAGAGAAGCTCTAGAGATTTATCCAAACATGTGAAAGTTGTGGTAAGTATCAGAGTATTTTGTGTCTTTTAATGATGATAATCTGGGAAATAACCTGTCAGCTTGAACACTTTGTCTGAAGCCTAGAAAAAACATTGAAGACATTTTTATTCATATTAAGATGAGCGAAGGTCATTTTCATTTATATTAACATGAATGAAGGACAGTTTCATTTATATTAACATGAATAAAGGTCCTGGGTTTGGTTCCCGAATTGACCATTTTTAATAGAAACAAGACTCCAATGCCTTTAACTCAAAACAAATGAGAAAAACAGAAAAATAAATTTAGGGGATACACTGTCTTATTTTCTGGGCATAATTGAAATTTCCTTGTTTGACATTTGTTGATGCACATGGAATTTATTGAGGCTGTGCGAATGTTTGAGTGGGGCTTTGTTAAGAAAGGATTGAGGGAACTGCATCTTCAAATCTGCTTTGTAAAACAAGGCATGTCCTCCCTTGTGAAAGCAAAGTCCTCGCATTACTGGATTTCACCTGCTTCATTTTTGTCCTTGGGCACTAGAATCTTTGAAAAATCTTTCAAGACCAGCTCCTTGCCTAACCTATAGTCACAAGCCATGGTCATCCCCATCTTCAAAAAGGGAGACCCCAGCCTAGTTGAAAATTATAGACCAATCTCCTTATGCTGCATCACCTGTAAAGTCATGGAATCAATTATTAACCAATCCATTGTCCTCCACTTAGAGACAAACAACCTATTCTCTAATAAACAATTTGGTTTCAGAAAAAAACTATCCTGTAATCTGCAACTCTTACACTGCAAAAACATATGGACTACACAACTCGATCAGGGCAAAGCAATAGACGCAGTCTACATAGACTTCTGTAAAGCCTTTGATTCAGTGGTACACGACAAACTACTCCTAAAACCAAAATCTTATGGTATCTCTGGACACATAACTGGATAGAAGCATTCCTGTCAAACAGACAACAAATGGTCAAAATTGGGAGTGTCCTATCAAATTCTGTACCTGTCAATAGTGGTGTCCCCCAAGGCAGTGTTCTAGGACCAACTCTCTTCATACTCTACATAAATGACCTCTGTGATCACATTAAGAGCAACTGCGTTCTCTTCGCTGATGGTGTAAAGCTGCTCAATACCACAGACAATACTGCTACTCTTCAAAAAGATCTTGACTATGTATCAGAATGGTCAAACAAATGGCAAGTTCAAATCTCAACAAATAAATGCTCTATCTTACATATTGGCAAAAAAAATATCAGAAAATAAAATACAAGCTGAATAGTCAAGACCTTGTTGATGATCCAAGCTCTGTAAAGTACCTTGGGATACTCATCTCTAATGATCTAAGTGCTAGAGCCCACTGTAACTACATAGCCAAAAAGGCATTAAGAGTTGTTAACCTAATCCTACGTAGCTTTTTCTCTGGTAATATCACACTACTAACTAGAGCAACAAAACATTTGCTAGACCAATACTCGAATACAGCTCATCAGTCTGGAAACCACATTACACATCTGATATTAGCACAGTTGAGAAAGTCCAGAAGTATTTCACAAGAAGAGTTCTCTACTCCTCTACTCGTTGCAGAATTCCTTATGCCACCAGACTTGAAATTCTAGACCTAGAAAACCTTGAATTACGCCGTCTTTGGTCTGATCTAAGTATAGTATATAAAATCTTACATTGCAATGACTTACCTGTCAATGAATACTTCAGCTTCAGCCATAACAACACAAGAGCACACAATAGATACAAACTCAAGGTTAATCGCACCAAACTTGATTGCAGGAAATACAACTTCAGCAACAGAGTAGTCAATGTCTGGAATACTCTACCTGACTCTGTGGTTTCTTCCCCAAACCCCAAAAACTTTAACTTTAGACCGTCTACTATTGACCTCACCCCTTTCCTAAGAGGTCTGTAGGGGGCGTGCATAAGCGCACCAACGTGCCTACCGTCCCTGTCCTATTGTTTCTTTTATTTTTCTTATATGTACCCATTTCATGTATTCATAACTATGTATATACTTATACCTATTATCTTGTAAGCGATTGACAAATCAAATAAATAAAATAAATAAAAGTAGCTGGAAGAGACTATTCCGCATCTGCAGAGTAATGTCTTCTGGCTTTGAGAATTGCTTAAGAAAGCTATGATGAACTGAGTATGTGCCATCAAGTCATTTTCAACCCTTAGCAGCTACATAGATTTTTCCCCATGATGATCTGTCCCTAACCCGATCCTTCAAATTTTCTAATGGTGCCCCCATTGCCATGGTAACCGAGTCCATTTACCTGGCTGCTGGTCATTGTCTTCTTCTCTTTCCTTCAACCATTGCCAGCATTAGAGCCTTCTCCAGAGAGTTGCATCTTCGCATAATGTGTCCAAAGTACAATAATAATTTGAGCCTGGACATTTGTGCCTTGAGTGCTTCTAGGAAAGGCTGTAAGGTGACAAACAACATCTCAGTGGGAAAAATGAAAGATTCATCACACAGGTCTAATCTTTTTTGTTTGCAGCCTCACCTAGCAATAAATAAAATAAGGGGATAAATTTGGGGTGGATGGGTGGGTAGTGTATTTTTATTGACCTAAAGAATTTTGAAAATGTGTGTGCATTACTAATGTGCTTCAGTGTGAATGGTCCCAAGATACTTCTTTGTTCAGAACTGACTGACTGCCTTTTTTCCTAGCTGGCGAAACTTTTTTACACGATGAAGGATATCCTTCTGAGTCACAGAATCTAGAATTACATGGTTTAAAATCTGGGTTCATATAATACACTAGACCAGGGGTTCCCAATCCCCGATCCATGGACTGGCACTAGGCCACGGCATACCAGTGACCAGGCCATGCAAACAAGTGAAGCCCCATCTGTGGTATGCAGGCAGCATGCAAGACCACATCCCCTCCCCCCAAAAATCTTTCTCCATGGAACCGGTCCTTGGTGCCCAAAAGGTTAGGGGCCGGTGCACTAGACTAAGCTAAAATGGGACTGGATTGTTTATGATTCAGAGCATTGAATCTGCAACTGTTTTGGTACTATGGCAAATCACTGTGTTAAGTGATTATAGAAAAATGATTTGTTTAGGTATTTGTGCCCTGTGAACAGAAGTATTGTCCTTTTTTAACTCAGTTTTTTAGGATGTTGAACAAATCCACTCTAGATACATGATTCAATCAGTCACTGAAAGGATCTCACTTCTTATGCTTTGAATTCCTTCAGACCTGGAAGGACATTTTTCATCTTCTTAGTAACACTGACTAACACTTAGTAACACATGATTTTTTAGATTAACAATACAATGATCCCACTGCAGAATCTCTAGAACCGGGGTGTCAAATGTGATTTCATTGAGGGCTGCATCAGGGTTGTGTTTGAACCTCAGGGGGCCACGGTGGGTGTGGCCGGGGTGGGTATGTCCAGGGTTGTGGCCAGCTTGATGTCACTCACATCAAGGATGCCTGTGGTGGCCTGAGCGCTCTGCCCAAGCTCTATTTTAGGCTGCGACGGCCTCCTGCCAAAACTCTGTTTTTGCTGGCAGAGGCACTGCAGGCCAGTCTTTCTTTGTTTCCAGGGCAACCCCATGGGCCAGATCTAAGCAACCCGCAGATCTGGCCCCTGGGCCTTGAGTTTGACATCCCTGCTCTAGAACATATATTGGCCAAATGGATGTTGTTACACCAATAAGCATGCTGCTGAGGATAGAAGGTGCTTGGGAAGAGAATAGAATAAAATAGAATTCTTTGTTGGTCAAGTGTGATTGGACACATAAGGAATTTGTCTCTGGTGCATATGCTCTCAGTGTACATAAAAATAAAAGATACATTCATCAAGAATCATAAGGTACTGTACAACACTTAATGATAGTCATAGGGTGTACTCCCAAGTACTGGTATTACAGTCTTCAACTTGGTATCTTCCAAAGTACCTTTCCACCTGCCAGATCCTCTTAGGTAGACATTCCAATTAAATAACCTGAATCTTGCATGGCAGCCTACGGAGATTCTACTCCTGTTTGTGTCTTCTGGGCACTCTGATTTGTATTGGATATCCACTGCTCCAAGACTGTACTCTTTCCTTAACTTTCAAGATCCTGTTTCTCATCAATTGATTACTCTGTTATGAAGTTCATCTGTTCGTATTTGCTTTCATTTTCTTTCTCTTACTCTCTGGCAGTGTGATGGGACTGACTTGACTTCCAAGATTCAAGAACTGAAATTTCAATGTATAGTATTTTTAAACATACCCAGGTAAATAATTTTTATTCTAGAACTCATATAATTGAATCTTTGTTAAATGTTTCAAAAGAGTAGAAAACAAACAAGCAAAAACCCTGTGGATACATTTATTTGAATGTATTTATTTATCTGTCTTTATTTTTTGCCAGCATGCTCCCTAGTGCTCTCACCTTCTATTTTCCCCACAACAACAACCCTGTGAGGTGGGTTGGGCTGAGAGAATGTAGTTCACCCACCGAGCTTTCATGCCTAAGAAACAACGAGAACTTACAGTCTCCTGATTTCTAGACCAGCACCTTAACCACTACACCATAATCTTCAAATTCTTCCTAGCTTCCTGTTCTTTAATTCAATAGCTTTCCTAGCCATTTATAAGTGCTCTGGTCAAAGTTTATTTGTTGAAGGCCAGCAGATAAAATTAGTTATGAGTCCAAAAAAACTCTCAAGCCTAACCTGTTTTTTTTTAATATTCAGATCAGCAGATTTTTCTAACCCAGACCTTGTTTTGTTTAAGCTTTAGCTTTCCCAAAATAAATAAAGCAAAATGTATTTATTAGGAATTTATTAGTTAGTAGACAAGTAGGTAGCCTGCATATTGACAGGGCTGCAGTCCAAATTTCCTGATGTGATTTTATGAAGCGCTTGAAAACACCACTTGTGAATTTTACTGAAGGTTTAGTGCCTGAATGAACTCTTATTTAGCTCAGGAGGAGGAGAGACACAGAGAAAACAGATTTATTCTGATACTTTTTTTAAAAAAAAAAATCGGATTTCTCTTTTTGTATGATCATCTGCCTTTCTCCAAATCCATACACTGCTATGTATTTGACTCCATAAAAGAGTCAACTTCTTCATTTCATGAGTGGATGTGAAATACTCTGTTTGTGGTTAGAATACTGTGGATATATCATAGTGTATCATAATAACACAGCACTTCCCTGACCCACTTTTTAAAAAGTATTGTCGCACAAGAAGCCCATAAAACTCTAACCCTCATCAATGAGTCAATCTGCCTGTCATAAAATAATATAACGAAATATTTAGACTTTTATAACAATAGATTTTTTTTAAAGTATCATTTGAGAATTTTTATTTTTAAATTGAACAGGGTCAGCACAAGTTCTCAACATACTTGTTTTCTGGACCATCTGGAGATGGTTATGCTGACTTTTCTTCATCTGTGCTGTATCAGATCTTCTATGCAGGAAGAGCATTTCATAAATATATTGCAATTGAAAAAAAAGCTAGTTTGATATAATGGTGAAAGGCATCAGGTACAAATGATAAGTCCATTTGGTTTTTGTTTTGCCTTAGGCTGGGTGAGTTTCTTTCCGTCTCAACTCTAAGAAGGTAGTGGCAAACCGTTTTTGAGAATGTTGTCAAGAACAGGCTTGTCCAGACCAGGACTCAAGAGTGATTTAAAAATGTGTGTGCATGCACATACACAGACACACAAACATACAAAATTCTTGAAGCCTCCTGGCTAATTGTTTTTTTTTTTTTTGGTAGATTTAATGATTTTCAAAAGCATGTGGGAATTCATAGGGTGCAGGCTACATGTGTTCTCTAATATATATTGCCAAGATTAGAGGGTAACAGAGCTGGATTTCAGGGGTATAATTTGGCCATTTGTTCAGGTTTCGGATGATTTTAAGGAATGTCTCAGGGATGTCTTTGGTGATGTCTTACCATCATCAGAAGACCTTCAGTGGACCTCCAGAAGGTCAGAAGTCTGAACTGAAGCCCTTTCAGTCCTTCAAATGCTACCCACTCTTGATCCAAAGTAATCATTCACACTGCTTTCCTCTTATTCTAATAAAATAAACATATGCATTGATATGCTTACCTATTGTTCAATAGTAAATTCCTAACAGTACCTGAGAGACTCACAGACTTCTATTTTGCAATAAACTGAAGGTGACTGTATGCATAGTATAGCCCAAAACTTCTTGCCATGATTATGACCATTGCTGCCTCTGTGATCTTCTCTTCCACTGCCTCAAAATCTCACTTGGAAGGTCCTTTCCCCAATGTGAGACTTCATTAGTAAGCATCTGCAGAGATCACCTATCTCATATGAGCCTAAAAAAAGCATATCAGAGAATAATGATGCGGTCCCAGAATACCAACCTATATTGATAAAATTACTCTGAAGACTTCTTATTTTGAGCCATCAAAATGGATAGGCAGTTTGAAAGTGCTGGAGGTCTCCAGAAGAGAAACTCTAATGTAGATGCTTCTGATGGCACGTATTTCTCATTCAGATTTTGCATCTTATTCAGAGAACTGCATCAAAATGCAAAATTATACCACCTAGAGAACTAGGTGGTGGGAGGACTGCAGATGGTGGGTCAAGTTCAACCTGTTTCTTCCAACACAAATTGAATATCTTTGTCTCATGGGGGAGCCTGCTCTGGGATTTACACACTTGTCTACATCAAAATAATCTAAGTGTGGTGCCATATATCCCTATCTCAGTTGAAAGAATGGATCTTCATTCTGTGAATCCTTCCTATATCAATAGAATAGAACATAACATAACAGAATAGATGAAAATAATTAGTCCCTGCTTCAAAGGCAAGTCTACATTCTATGTGAAAAAGTGACTCTTAATTTTTCCCTGAACAATTTCTGTAACAAAGGAAAGACCTCTCACCTCTGAGAAGCCATTTGTACAGAACAAAGCTACATATGAGCTTGATTATGTAAGTTTCTGCTAAAGATAACATTGGCTGAATGTTCACTGAAGCCCTTACAGCTTCAACTTCTTTCTATAGGTATTGTGCTGGCACAATGCCCTGGGGTAATCCAGGAGACCATAGAGAATTCGAACCTCAGAGACATGATGATGGTTACATTGAGGTCATTGGATTCACCATGGCATCCTTGGTGAGTATTTTTTTTAAATACATTTCTTCTCATACTAGTTACAGGGCTATCAGGCAATCAGAGCAAAAGAGCAAACCATACAAAATGAATTAAATGGCAATTGGCAATGAGCATTATGCATCTGGCATGCATCTGTATTGGACAGATTTGCCAATTTAAGGAAACAATGGAGGAAAGTTAACCACTATCCACTCTTATGCTTGAAAAAATTGTTTGCATGCAATTGTTTCCTCTCTCAACTTGGTATTTTTCTTCTTCCTTACTGATTTTGAGATGTGGCAGATGACGATACTGCAAGGAGCAATGATTTCTCAAAAGATTGTACCTCTTTCCATGAAAATATCTCCCATGCTTATATTCAGTTTAAACAATGGATGAATTCGATTTCCTGGTTGCCTACTGTTGTGAAAATAGAAGGATTTATCTCATGATATCAGTATTGAACTGAAGACAATCTGTTGTAGACTATTAGCAAGATAAGTCTGTAATGAAAAGTGAGATATTGGCCACACAATTTGGCCATCTTCTATTTAAGATAAGGCAAGAATTGCGTACACTATCTAAGAATCTTTTAAAACTTTCTTTTATTTTGGAAAGGGAAGAAAGGAAGAAAGAAAGATACATACGTTGTTTCCCTCTCTTTTCTCCTTCTTTATGTCATGGAAAGGCTGCTCTTCAAGTGGGAGGTCATGGAGAGAGGTTACATCAGTGTCGGGAAGTGACTCTATTAACATATAAGTCCATCCCCATGCAAGTGGATGGTGAACCATGTCGGCTGGCTCCATCGCTCATCCGAATCTCCCTTAGGAATCAGGCCAATATGGTGCAGAAAAGCAAGAGAAGAACATCCATGCCTTTGCTCAATGAGTAAGTTGGCTACATGTGCTTTTGGGTAGAGGCAAATCTTAAATGTGAGATGTCACAAATGTCAGGTGAAGCTGCAATGGCAGTCAGGAATGAATTAAGGATGTAGCAACTATACTGAACTATAATTCTGTGTGGAGAATTTTAAGAGGCCTCCTCTTTCTCTCAAAGCTTGTCCCTCATGTGTCTTCATCTCCTGTAATGACTGCCATCTCCTTTAATGACCCCATAATCCCTGGGCAATTGAACGGAGCTGAGTGTTTAATGGCTGGACGCCCTTCCTGTCCCCAATGTGGAGTTATATTCAGCAGATACATTTTCAATGTGCCCAGATAGAGAAATATCTGCCTGTACCTGGGATTGAACTCACAGCCTCCTGATTGTGAGGCAACAGCAACACCTCTAGGCCATTGCACCACTCCCTGTGTTGACTGCCATGCTCCATGTTAAATATCTTGAATCTTCTCTAAAGATAGATGAGATCATGCAACAAAATTTCCAGAACTGTCCTTGTAAAAAATGAATCTCTAGTAACAATTAATTAAACTAGTCTCTTTCTTTTAATTTCTATTTTCCATTATGTTCCTTCTTGGGCTGAATGAAAGTTTTCAATCCTGCTTTAAGTCTCTTGAAATGAAATAGCATTTTCTTGTTGTGTACCCCACTTTGGGCCTCAGCATGCTAACTCATTTGTAAACCATAGGTGTGAGCTCCTTTGCTATAAACTATTGACATGGAGACATGATCACAACTTTCCTGTCACTTGATTTAAAAGACAAAGGACTAATATGCACAACTAGAGAGCTCCAATACGAGCAACTGCCACTAACTTTCTGAAAAACTGGAACATTAAATTTGACCCTTCATGCAGTGCATCCAGGGATGGGCTGCTGGGGGTCCGCAGGGGTTCGGGAGATCCTCTAGCTAAGATTCTGCACAGTTTGGAGAACCCCCAAATCCCACTCCTGGCTGGCCCCAACAATCCCAGGAGTCACCATGTGGCCCATTTTGGATGCTGGTAAGTGCAGGGTGCATGCAGAGGCTCAGGGAGGGTGAAAAATGAGCCTCAGGGAGGCCAGAAATGAGCTCGTTTCTGGCTTCCAGAGAGCCTCCGAAGCCTGGGGAGGCCATTTTTGCCCTCCCGGAGGCTCAAGGAAAGTCTCTGGAGCCCGGGAAGGGCAAAAACACCCCCCCCCCACCGTGGTGCAGGAGGCTGACACCTACCCAGCAACCAGGCAGAGACCCGTTACTAAAATTTTTGAAGCCCACCCCTGAATATATCCCCAGCCCACTGGTAGGCAACTTATTACAATCTATGTATCCAAAATATAATATTCTGATTTGGGTTACCACAAATGGTGCTGTCTGCTTTGCCTACTGCACTTCATTGCATTCTAAGGTGCATTCTACAGCACCAGCTCCCAGGGGTGGGATTCAAAATTTTTAACAACCGGTTCTGTGGGTGTGGCTTAGGTGGTGGGCATGGCTTGGTGGTCATGTTATTGGCTGGGTGTGGCCAACTCAATATCACTCACATCGAGGCACGCATCTCCTCGCCTGGCCTCTCATGTCTGTAGGGAAGCTGCAACAGTCGAAAGTGTGATAAGTCCATAAGTGTGATACGGCTATAAGTCACTTTCTTCAGTGCCATTGTAACTTGGAATGGTCACTCCACACAAGCAAAGTACCAGCAAAGGAGGGGAAAAAAACTCCAGAGATGTTCCTGAGACAGGAAGTCTAGTCCTGCCAAGAATGTAATAAGGGTTAATGGAGAGGCAGTTTCTGTAAGCAACACCAGAATGTTTCCTTCCTGCCTTTCTTACAGGATTAGGCCAATAATTTCTTCTAACAACCAGTTCTCTGAACTGCTTAGAATGTTAACAACCGGTTCTAGCGAATAGGTGCAAACTGGTAGAATCCCACCCCTGCTGGCTCCCAACCTTTTGGAAACCAGAAACTGATTCTGTAGAGAGAGGGTTTTTCGTGGACCAGAGGGGCCGTGGTTTCACATGCTACCTGCATCCCACAGATGGGGATTCGCTTGTTTGCGTGGCCCAGTTTCTGACAATCCATGGACTGGGGATTGGGGACACCTGGGCTTCAGTGCATTGTATTGGGACTCCTTGTCCCTTCCTGGTCACTGTTTATTGTCCTCATTAGCCTTTTTGTCCTTCTAAAGGGTTGGCAGCTGCTTTGTGTTTGTTCTTGGTGAAGGGAAATGATGTAATGCAAGAATTATGACATATGAGCCTGTCTCAAGAAAATTGTCCGTGGTCCTGTCAGGTTATTTGGATCTAAGCATAGGTTGGATGGATTTGATTGCATTTGGTTTTCATTTATCTTGTTTTCACTATACAGAGTGCCAATGGCTCTACAAAATGTATATACAGATATATCTGCAAAATGTATTGATAGCTGACCTGGATAAAAGATACTGTTCTTGGTTATTTGGTACACTATTTGGGTTTTTGAATCTATAATGCCTATCTTCCTTCCTCAGCTTCTATCACAGTGTTTATCAACCTCAGCAACTTTAAGATGTGTCCAGTTTAACCCCCAGAATTTCCCAGACAGCATGCTAAATGTTGAAGTCCACACATCTAAAAATTGCTCAGGTTGAGAAACAATGTTCTAGCTGAACAATCTGGTAGAAACCATAATGGAGTCACACATGCCAAGATATCATTATGCAAATTATTGTCTGTGGAGATTCTCAGTCATCTAGGTTTCGCTTATCACCCAAGAAACTACTTCAATTCTGAGGAAGCTTCTTGGATGAGAAGTAAAATGTTTTCAAGGAAAAACAAAGCCCAGTTGCCTTTTGAAAAAGCACCTTTGGGATGATTATGCAAATTATGCAGATGATAGATTCATGTCATTTGCATAATTATATTGCGACATGTGTAATGATACTTTTCATCCTTGTTCTTCCAGAGATAGCCAAGCCAACAAGATGAAAGGGTGAGAGAAAGTTAAGGTCTGGGGTAGAGGATCTAAGTATAAAGTATTTTCCTGGTTTAGGGAAAGAACTTCAACAACTTTTATTCTAAATCATTTCTCCTACATTTTTCTGCCAGTTTTATGCATATATATCCTGATTCCAACTTCTTTGGCTGAGAGAGCAAATGCTAATAAAGAAAACAAAAGAGGAGCAGATTTGATTAAAACAGACATAAGCTTTTAAAATATTTGTTTTATATGCATAAAAGGGAAAAGAAAAAAAAAAGAAAAGACTCCCAATGTGCTAATGAAAGACAGTCTCACACATACATTTATGCTGTCTTATATATTTAGATTCACATTTAAGTCAGTTTACTGAATGATAAAAATGGAGAATGATCCATATAAACTACTATTTGCAGTCCAAATGTCTAAAAGCCTCACAAAAAAACTAGTCAAAGGAGCATCTGTGCATAATTAAAAAGAATATGAGCATTTACAAAAATCAGTGGATCTGCCAGAACAAAAATAATATGTCAAATTCCTTTGTTCCAAAGGGAGCAGTAATAGTATATTAACTAATAGTGCATGTTGCATCTTCAACCATTAGCTTCTCCAAAAAGGTGCCGAGGCATTCATTGCCAATGAAATAGGAGTTTTTGTTGAAATAACTGTAACTTGGAAAGGATTGTGAGTTCTGGTAGGAACAGATTATAATTTATGGTTTGATATATTTGGTGAATGAAATATATACATTTGGCATTCACTAAGCAAAATGAATGGCGAGTGTAATTATTAATGGTGGATTATATTTATGTTTATTTTATTACTAATTAACAGTATTGATATGCTGTTGGTTTTTGAAGACTCTTGGCTTCATAATACAAAAATAAAACATAAGCTGAAATCAACCTCATGTCAATTAAATCTCAACGATTGAAACCTCTATGAAATATTTTCATTTCAATTGATGGATTCATTCATTTTATGCCATCAAGTAGTTATCAAGCCCTAGTGACCCAGCATGTTGGCTGGGAAATTGTGGGAGTTGATATCCACATATCTTAAATTAGCCAAGGTTGAGAAACACTGGTCCAGAAGAATACTATGACCAATGATATTCAATTCTGAAAATCATCTGATGCACAACAATGCTTAAAGAGAGAACTTGAAACTTATATAAGTAAATGAGACCTGATTTAATGAATATCCTAATAGGGGAGGCCATGTGTTAATTGGCATATCAAAATAAACCAGAATATTGAATAAGGACTGGAGAATTATCAGCTTGTTTAACTTAAAGCCTAATTTATATGTAAGTGTTTAAACGCTTGGACTGAATATTTGGCTTTTTTCCCTAGCTCAGAATGCAAGTTTTAAAAAAGGATTCCAAGAAAATATGTAACCTTAAATATGTAACCTAGAATATTTGGTTTAAATACTTTCTTTCTGCAAACTGTCTTCCAAGTTCATCTGTAAAATCTTTGTTGGAAGACATGAAAAAAGGCATGTGAACATTGCTAAAACTAAAGCAAATTAGTTTACACTTTAAGAATTGGAATAATAATTGAATGATATAGAACTCAGATTTAGTATATGGAATGAATCTGAAAAGATTGTACATTTTTTCCTGATGGGAGCGGCCCCCTATAGAAATGTATTACAAAATTTTCTGGCTCTCAAAGTCAGTAATAAATATCCTAAATACAAATAATTCATTAAAATACAAAGTGGGGTTGCACATACATAATATTACCTTCCACTGAAGTTAATAGGTAGCCCTTCTATTTTTTTTTTTTTTAAAAAAAACCCTCTTTATAATCTTATGGATGATATTAAAGTCTGTTACTAGAGTTTTATCATTCAATAGTAAAGCTATCAAAATGGTAAAGGGATATTGCAGTGTGTGGCAGCACTTAATTAACTTTGGATAATATATTTTTAAAAGCTAAATAGAGTTGGACTTTTCAATACTTGGCAAGATACTGATAGAAAACCTCATGGCAGTCAGCTAGATCAGAAATTAGGGGGGAAAAAAACATATTGGAAACAATTCTGTAGTG